TATGGCAAAGATCCAACTGTACTTGAACTCCAGCATTTTCTACATTGTGCTGTAGGAAGAAGCCAAGCATTCATGCTGTAAACAAACCACCTCAACCCTGGTGACTGAATTCACATGGTCAAATTTCTTATTAGTGTTCAATATTCCCTGGGAGAAAATTTCCCATGATATCTGGTTTTCTACTTTCTGAAAGAAGATTGTCCTCTTTTGTGGAACTGCCTGGACTCTCTTTCATCCTCACTCTCAGCTGATGGCCTCATGTCCACCGACAAAAGCAGAAGCAATCATGAGGTATGTCCTCATCGTCTAACCACAAGATCCCTCAAACTCCTGGTACCTAATCCCAGGCTCTTGTGTCCTTGATTGTTCCTATGAAGGACACGTTTCTGCTCCTCCCTCAGGTCAACTCTCCCACTGGGCTCTGGATTCCAAGCCTTCCTATCCCCTAGCCTTTGACAATTAATGTCTCTTCTTTGTGATGGAGTTGATGTTTTCAACAGCAAGTAATTGTCTTCCCTGGAAGACAAGTCCTCCTGTAGAGCCCAAGGGATTGGGTCTGTGACATTTACTGAACCATAAACTATCTGTAGATGAAGAGACACATTTTTCTCTAACCCCTTAAATCCAGTTTTGGGGCAGGGGCTGTGAATTAAACCAATAAAGATTATTAAGGGGGCTGGAGACGTGACTCAAGCGGTAGTGTGCTCTCCTGACATGCTTGCGGCCCGGGTTCGATCCTCAGCACCACATACAAACAAAGATGTTGTGTCTGCCGAAAACTAAAAAAAAAAAAAGATTATTAAGGGAAAAAAAAGGCAGATTTTTACTCATGCATTTATGGGATTGCACAGAAAAATGTGACTCAAAGAGGGAGTTATTTATCATTTTTATAAGGAAAAGGGAGGAAGAGTTGGGCATTTATGGAAAAACAAATGATTTTTAGGAAAGATAAATGCTCCCTTAGGAAAATGAATGGATGATATGATAGTTTTGTAACAATCTGTTTAAATGTTGCTGTGGTGTGAATATGTTCCCTCAAAATTCATGTATTAGAAACTTAATCCCCAAATTCATGTTGATGACATTTGAAGATCAAGACTAATGGAGGTAATTAGGTTAGAAGAGGTCATGAAGTTGGGGGCCCCAGATGGGATCAGTGGCTATTCAAGCAAAGAAAGAGAAGCCTGAGATAACTCACTTCCTGTCTTGCCACATGATGTCTTCTGCCTTGGAATGAAGCATCAAGAAGGCTCTCAGCAGATGCCAGCACCACATGCTTGGACTTCTCAGCCTCTACAACTGTACTATAAGCAATTTCTTCTCTTTAGAAGTACTCACTCTGTGGGTATTCTGTTGTAGCAGCAGAAAATGGACTAACCACAGTTGTGGTGTTGACCTCTCTCCAGTGGTAAGAATCAATCTTCCTTGGTTGTACAGCTCCCTGGGAGAGGATTATTTCACTTGAGTTCATTTGAGAGAGTCTCTTTTTAGGCAGATAATAGAAAAAAAATCCTATTCTTAAATGCCTTCTGCTCAAAAATAATTTTTCTGCCTCAATATCTACTTGGAACCCTTTGTAGTACCTCACCACATCATTCTCGTTGGCGCATACTCTTATCCTCTATCTTTTTTTGGGGGGGAGTGGATATTGAACTCAGGGACACTGGACCACTGAGCCACATCCCCAGCCCTATTTTGTATTTTATTTAGCCATAGGGTCTCACTGAGTTGCTTTTGCTGAGGTTGGCTTTAAACTCTTGATCCTCCTGCCTCAGCCTCCTGGGAGCTGCTAGGATTACTGGCATGCACCTCCACGCCTGGTTTATCTCCCTATCCTAAACATGAACTTTGCCTTACTTACACTCTTCTTTACCTACTACTCTTAGTTTATTCCAGGCTTCTCATTATATATAAAATAAAACACAAACTCTTTGCCCTCTTTCAGAGAGTTCTACATAATGTGGTCTTTTCTTCTTTGCATTTAATCTCATCAGCACATCTATGCTGGAAGTTCAAGAATCTTAGGTTCTCTACCAAATATTCCAATTCCAGCTCTGAGTCCTGATCTTTTCCTATTAGGGGTCAAACTTTGTCCTCAGATACCTAGAGAGCTGTGTATTCAGTCTTCTTTGAATTTCTCCTAGCCCTACAATTAAATCCTTTAGTTCATTTACTATATGGTTTGCATGATGTAAGGTTTTCTTTAAATAGTGCAATGGAATATTTCCAAATTTAATATCATACTTCAAGAAGATAATTGATCTGATTCTGTAATTTTCATTTTTAAGACTTCTAAAGTCATTTAAAGTCAATCACCTCTATTTCTCAGCAGAATGATTTCTCCCATGCTGTTCAAAAGCCAATGCCACCAGCATAAGCCAATGCTTTACTTAACACCTGTACTTCATCACCACAAGTGAGGTCTTACTTGTTTTATCACTGCTGCATACCAGTAGTTATCACCACTCAACCAGTTGCAGTGAGATCCAGAATCCTATCCTGAATGTCTCATACTTCCCACACCAACAGTTTTAGCCTAGGTTACCTCAGGAAAACAGAGCAGGGAGCTGATGAAGTGATCCCAGAGAAGTGAGTAGGAGAACTATAAAGTGTAAAAAAGGGAAAAAATAAAAGTCAGTACAAGGATTGTGGTATGGATATAGTCACTGCAGTGAGCAATTGAGACTCATGATTCTAAAGAACCATTTAGTATTCAGAATTTTTCATCTGAAGGATGGAAGAGAAACACCTATATCTACAAGCTTTTGGTCTCCATTGTTCAATTGGTGGCCCCGTAGAGTGTTAACTCCTTCGAACCTCTGGGTAGTACAAGTAGCCTTTGGAACCAGGTTGAGTCCTTGTTGATGTATCTTGGCATCTGAAAGGCACCAGAGCAAAACGGAGAGAGATGTGTTGTTGAGTGGAGGTGCTATGAGTTTACTCCTTGAAAAAACTGGTTGTGGCAGCAATGACTGGGGTAAAATATGGACAAGAGAATGTGGGGTGGAGCACAGTGGATGTCTGATGCAGTATACAAGGAGGAAAGATTTGTAAAATGAAGTTCCAAAAGATGCCAGGCTATGCTGGATCTTGTCAGTTACGGTAAAATATTTGAATGTTATTCTAAACTTACCAGGAAACCATTGAAAAGGTTTTAAACAATGGAATACTATAATTGGATTAGTATTTTTTTAAAAATGCTCTATTAGCCATGTGGAAAATGCAGCAAAGAGGAAGTACAGAGGCGAATAAGGAAGCTATTTCAGGAGCCTAAGAAAAAGATTCTGGTAGACAGGCATAGGATGATGGTAGTAGAAGGAATATGGAGAGATCATTCTGGTTTAAACCAGATAGGCTTTACTAATGGCTTAGAAATTAGTAAAACCAAGGACTCAGGGATGATTCTTGAGGTTTTTTTAAATAGGAAATATGATATTCATATGATCCAGCAATTCCATTTCTGAGCATATACTAAAAAAAAAAAAAGTTGAGCTAGGCATGGTTGTATGTGCCTGTAGTCCCAGCTACTCATTAGGATGAGGCAGGAGGATCACATGAATCCAGGAAATCTAGGCTAGCCTGAGAAATACAGCAAGATCCAATTTCAAAAAAAAAAAAAGAAGAATTGAATGCAGAGACTCCCACTAATATTTGTATACCAATATTCATAGTAGCCTTATTCAAAAGAGCCTCAAAGAGGAAACAACTCAGATGCCCATCGATGGATTTATGGATAAACAAAATATGTCTACATATCCAGCAAAGCATTACTGAGCTATAAAAGGAAATAACATTCTGATACATACTACAAAATGGATGAAACATGTTATTTTTTTAAGTGAAATAAGCCATAAAAAGACAAATATTGATTCGACTTATATGAGATAACTAGAATAGTCAAATTCATAGAGATAGGTGAGTTTTGTTGTATATGGGAATAGTACAGAGTTTCAGTTTGGGAAAATGAAAAATTTCCAAAGATCGAGAGTGGTGATGATTGCACAACAATGTGAATATACTTAATGTCACTTAAATATACACTAAAATGTATAATTTCCTAAAATAAAAGGAATGTAGTATTGCTTCTACGTGGAAGATACTGTACCCAAACTGTTAACCATGAAAAGCACATGTACTCTGTTAGATAGGAAAAATATAAGGTGCAATGCAGAGATGGGAACTCATAACTACGGAATTTTTTTCAGGTAGCTCTTGTGTTATGCCTTCTACTATACACAGTAGTTTTTATCTGTTATAAACCCATAGTTCTCAGTTCTTTCTCTAGCTATGAATTCTGTTAAGAGGTCACTAATGAAATTTTATGGAACTTGCTAAAAAACCAAAAATTACTGACTTAAAATATGAAAGCTATTTCATATTTTGTTTTTCATTGGCTGTTAAACAAAATAAACTTTATTTTATTAACAAATTTCAGTGAAAAATTTGAAGTTTATTTTCAACTGCAAAAACAAATTTTCTGAAATCCCTTTCATGTAACACATAATAACAGTTGCAAAGATTGTCCTTGAAAGAGTTTATCTTGCACAATAACTATCTGAGATAGAGTCAACAAGACCTTCTTTTTTTTTTTTTTTTTTTAAAGTCCTGCCAGTGAATTATCTTTTGGTCTCTGGGAATGTCCTTGATCATATCTCAGTCCCATCTTAGAGCACTAACAGCATTGATAAAATGCTTGTCACTATGTACAGCACACTGAGTTTATTTTTTAGTTCCTGTCTTGCTGAAGCAAGACACATGAAAGATTAGTTAAAATGTACACTGATAACTATTACTTCCAAAGATTACAGAATGTTGCATAGAGTGTGAATTAAAAAGACTCTCGGGCTGGGGATGTGGCTTAAGGGGTAGTGCGCTCACCTGGCATGCGTGCGGCCCCGGGTTCGATCCTCAGCACCACATACAAAGATGTTGTGTCCACCGATAACTAAAAAATGAATATTAAAAAAATTCTCTCTCTCTCTCTCTCTCTCTCTCTCTCCCCTCACTCTCTTAAAAAAAAAAGAATTAAAAAAAAAAGACTCTCAAAAAACTGAATATTTTACAGCCCCACTGTAGTCATAACCTTGCAGCTGCATTGACAGATTTCCTAAAGAAGGGAGGGGAATGAAGGAGGGAACTTGATTTTCTGAGCCCTTAAATGTGCCAGAAGTGCTCCTAGCAGAACTACATAAGGGCTTTTGCTTCTTCTCATTTTATGTCTGAGAACTCCCATTCTTCCTTCAGATCTCATCTTAAGTGTTAGTTCTCATGTGGAACATTGCCACACAAGGCCAAATTTCCCCAACACATATTCTCAGAGCACCATGAACCTCTCAAAACAACATGTATCATATTTGCAACTTGGTATATAAATAATAATTAGGTGATTTTTACCAATGTTTATCTCCCCAGTTAACCTACAGGCTGATGGGGGCTGCCTCAATCCACCAATGGTGGTGGGTTTTGCTCATCATTACAGCTCAGTATCTACCACAGTGTTTGCACATATCAGGTGATTAATAAATAGTGAACAAATACATGGTTAGGAAATTGGGCTTAGAACATATAGATCTAAATTTGAATGTTGGCATAGTACACAGAGTGATGACACCAAAAGATGTGAGGTCCAAATCTCTGGAACCTGTAGTATTACCTAACCTGTAATAGTATTATTGAGATGGTGATGTTATCATGAATTAGCTGGGAAGCCACGTGTCCTTATAAAACAGGTAGAAACATAAAAGGAGGAAGTCAATACGACCAAAAAAACAGAAATTGGAGTGATGTGACTATAAGCCATGAATGCTAGCTGGCCTCAGAAGATGGAAGACAAAGAACAGAGCAGATTTTTGCACTGTGGAATCGATTTCAGATTTCCAATCTTCTGAACTGTGAGAGAATGAAGGTATGTTGTTTTAAATTGCAAATTTGTGAGGTGTTGAAGATTTAACTCAGTGGTAGAGTACTTGCCTGGCATGTACAAGGCTCTAGATTTGATCCCCAGTAGTGGGGTAAAAAATCAGCTAAACTACAAATCTGTAATAACTTGTTACAGTAGTCAAAGAAAATTAATATATCTGGTCCTACAAATTATTAAGTAGGTTGCATAACTTTGGCAAGTTATATATATTTTTAAGTTCTTTGAGTCTTTATTCTCATCTCTAAAGTAAGGGCCAGCATACCAGATGTCCTGCTAATATGGTAATATGTGTAAAGTACAGAGCAAATAGTAGAGACTGTATTGTAAATGCTTGAAAAGAATAATTACAATTTTTTTGTTAGATAGTTTACAAATCATCATCTTTAATAATTCTCATAGTTCTATGATGTCAAGGACCATATCTCCTTATTTTATAGGTGTGGAGAAGTTAAATAATTTGCTCAAATTACAATTTGCTCAAAATGCAAAATATCTTAAGTCTAATGTTTTTGAAATGTTTTTTGATGTATTTTTAAATATTCCGAATATCTTATTTGCCTGAGGCACCCCATTCGTTGAAATAATGGTTTCAGTGTTTCAGAGGGAAGGTCAGATATGAATTAGAACAAAGACGTGTCTGTCAAATGGGAGTTTTTGAGTCTCTACCACAGGATTAATCTTGAAAGTGAGGCTTTGTCAATTGAGAAAAGATTTCAAAATTCTTTCAGCATGCACTAACAAGAAGCAGGACCAGTATGTGCGAAGTTTTCCCTGATTGCATGAACATAGACCATATGAAGAAAATCCTTGCCACAAGAAAGAAAGAGGGGGAAGAAAACTGCCTCTGACCCAGTAGATGATGGAAAGAAGGAAGAGATGATAGCAGTGGAAGCAAGTATTAAGAATCCAATAATTGGACTGTCTGTTCTACTATAGTTTGAATTTTGGATATCCCACAAGAGCTCTTGTATTAAAGGCTTGGTCCCCAGCCTGAGGGGTCATGGGAGGGAATACAACCTTTAGGAGGTGGAGCCTCATGAAAGGAAGTTAGGCCATAAGGCATATGCCCTCAAAGAGGATACTGAGATCCTGGTTTTTTCCTTTTCCTCTTGCTCTTTTGTATCTGGCCTTCAGGTGAACAGGTTGCTTCACTATGTGCTCCCTGCCATAACGGGCTGCCTCCCTACAGGACCCACAGTGGTGGGACCACCCAAATATGGACTGAAACTTTTGAAACCATGAGCTAAAATAAATCTTTCCTCCTCATAACTTGATTTATCCCAGTTATTTGTTACACTAGCAGAAAATTGAGTAACACATCCCATCCTGATGATGCTGTTTATACTTTTATAATACTTATTTCTCTATGTTGTGAAGAATAAAGTAGAGTTTTAATGGCTTCTCATTGTTCTTGGATAACTCTGTGTTACCATGATCTGTAAGGCCTTGTATGGTTAGCTCTTATATCAGGACTTTTCTATAAAACAAACGCAATCTTATTCACTTAGTCAAGTTGGAGTTTATTTTCTTCAGTTCGGCAGCAGGATGTTCAGGGATAGTGCTCCTACTTGTGGAAATCATAAAAGACTCAGGTTCCTTCTTGGATACTGCCATCCCACACTGTGTGGCTTTTGTCATTATGGTCTTAAGGCAGTTGCTCCTTCTCTAGGATATCTGCCCTCCTTTCAAGCAGGAATAAAAGATGGAGGTGAAACAGGAAAGGGCAAATGGTGCTTGCAAAAGGAGTCAGTGCCTCTTCATGAGGAAAACAGTATCCTTCTCAAAAGAACCACACAGTAGACTTTCACTCTGATCTCATTGAACAGAAAGGGTCATATGGTCCCTTGAGCTACAGGGAACATATGGAAGTTAAATTTTGAAATAAACCATTTTCTACATGTAACTTAGAAAAAAGAAAACGTGTTGGAAAGCATCCAGCAGTGTCTATGCACTGGCCCACTCTCCAGCTGCCTCGCAGATTATCATTCCCCTAGATTATATGCTTTACTATGCTGGTCTTTCTGTTTCCTAATTATGGTCAAACTTTTGTACCTCAGGGATGTATTCAATCTATAATCCTCTCTTCCTGGAATGCTCTTTGGCCAGCATTTCCAAGGTTGGCACCCTCATGTCCTTAGGTCTCTGTTCAACTGTGACCTTTTCAGAAAAGTCTTTGATACCTCTACCCTGAAATTGAAAATGGTCACCTCTGCCTTGCTAATAACAAGTTATCTATTTCCTTTTTAGTATTTTTTATAGTACTTTCACGATCCTGGAATTGGAATTTCCAATTCATTTACTTGTTTATTATTTCTCTCTCTCAAAAAGTAAACTTCTTGGAATAGGACCTCATCCAACTGTTGGGTTCAGCACTAATCAGTGCTTAGGAAAGCTTGCAGTAAGACAAGAATTCCAAAGACAGTGATAATAAAGGAAATAGGGGAAGCTGGCCATTGGGAAGTGCCCTTATCTCCAATCTTTAGGTGGGCATCAAAGCAGAGTGACCTTGGTTGGAAAATAAAGGAATGTGCTCATAAAACATCTGAGGAACTCTACTTGCACAGAGGGCATGCAGCCAATCCTACATATTCCCCCTGCTTGTAGGCATGGTTCAGCCCTCTATATTATCTTAGCTTGCTGTCCCCAGAATTGCACAAGTAATAAAATGTCTAAAACTTCCCAGATTCCCTGTTGAGTCCTCCTAGTTCTTTCATCCTCCTGCCCCTCCCTCCCTCCCTCTCCTCTCTCTCTCTGCCCACCCCCCTCCTGCCTTTCTTTCTTTCTGTACCAGGCACTTAACCACTGAACCACATCCCCAGCTCTTCCAGCCCTTTTTATCTTTTATTTTGAGACAGAGCCTTGCTAAGTTGCTTAAGGACTCGCTAAGTTGCTGAGACTCTCTTTGAATCTGGAATCTTCCTGCCTTAGCCTCCCAAGTTGCTAGGACTACAAGTGTGAACCACTGCACCCAGCTCCAAGTTCTTTCTTTGGGATTAGTAAAACTACTAATGCTGGGACATTTTCAGCTCTGGGACTGAACAATTGGCAGAGTCATTGGGGTCCCAAAAGAGAATGTGTTTCCCAGAGTTGGGAAAGGGCATGGGTCTGTGGGGGAAATCTCTGACTGGCCATAAGCCTCCATGTAGTTTGAGGCGGCTTCCCGTTGGAGGGGTGGGGACTACCATGTGAGTATAGGGATGCTCTGAAAACACAAAGAGAGGTGCCACAAATGTGGGAAGCAGCACCTAAAGTAGTCACAGAAAAGCAAAAGAAATTCAAGGTAATCAAGGGAAAGTGAAAGGAATCCAACAGTGCTACTCCTTTGGTGGCAAAGTCCCTGCTGTGTGAATTAAAGTGAGACACAGACTGGGAGTCAGTCACGAAGGTTTAACTCTGTAGAGTAGAAAGAGAGGCCTGTTTAGCACAGGTTGACAGCAAAGATAAGCTGTTGCAGTCATAGAATCTGCAGGTAAGTATCTACAGGTCATAACTTGCCTTTATGCCATAGGAAGGCATGGGTGACTAGAGAAAACTGGGACCCCAGATGTGGGACCTACTCAGGGAGTCCACTAGTTCCAGAGACTCAGAAATTGAAGTGGAGGATGAAGATATAATAGCAGGAAGCAGTGATGGTCCAAAACTTAAAGAACCACCAGGAGTGGCCTGAGGTGGCTGATCCAGTCTGCTCCCCATTCCAGAAAGAGATTTACCTACTGCCATGAAACTGTACACTCAGGCAGAGCCAGCAGAACTGGGGTCCAAGTTCAGGCAGAAAACAAAAGCAAATACCAGCATGGCTACTCCACTTGTGCAACAGAGAAGCAGATGGGATTATAGTGGATGGTATGTAGTTGTCTAAAATGGCTTACGCTGCTGCTTTATGTCAGCAGCTTTACACCAATGCCACTGATAAAAGTGTAGGGTCATTACTAGCTCAGCTGCCTCTTGCCACTTGTAATACATGTTTAAATTTTGGAGATATCCCTATGCCTAGAGGCATCTGGAGGAGCTACAGAGGGAATCTGTGGGAATTGGGAATGAAACATGTTATTTATGTGCAGTCTTTTCCAGGACCAGCAGTATGACTTTTACTGTCAGGATGAGGGATGCAGTGTTACACATAGCCCCTCCATCCATTTGGGGTGTCCTAGTAGCAGTATTATCCCCATTAGTAGGGTAACTCCTCCAGCAAGTAACACAACTGATAACAGATCTAAGGGAAAAAGGAAGTTGCAGCAGAAAATAGGAGTCTAGAAGAATCTCTTTAAGTCTATAGTAAACAGATGTGGGTAGACTTAATAGTAGCAAGAGTAGATGAAAGGAAAATAGATAAACAATCTAAGGCAACCCTGGTATGCTTGTGGAAGCAATGACCAAAGGACAAGAGATTTCAGTCATTATCTCTCAATGAGAAAAATGAAGATGTCAGAAAGTCAGAATGGACTTCAACTCCAAAAAGAGAAAAAGAGAAGCCTCTTCTATTAGGAGATGTAATGAAAGCAGAGACCACAACTTTCCCTGGGGAGTCTTTGAGTCCTTGGGTATGGGAGAACTAGGGGAAAAGTGAAGGTTCTTGGGTCTGAGCCATGTCTCTGGATGGGAGGCCATATGTAGAATTGGCAGTACATTGGTCTTCAAAGAATATTCAGAGAGTAACAGCACTGGTGGACACAGGATCTGAATGTGTATTGATATATAGTAATCCTGACAAAGTCTCAGGCAGGTAAACTGCTCTTGACTGATATGTTGGAAAACAGTGAGAGCTGAGCTATAACATTGACACCAAGGCTTAGATGCCTGTCTTCCACTGCAGCATGGAGCATGATGGGGTTGGGTTCTTTATCTCATGAATTTGAAGAATAAAATTCATGGACACAAGGGTGAGAGCAAAGTACAGGATTTATTGGGGGTAATAGAAAGAAAGCAGAGCTCTCAAAGAGGGAGGGGTCCCAAGAGAGGGATACCAAAGAGTAGCTATTGTCTTGGAGTGTATATAGATCCACAAGGTTAAGGAAGTCAGCCCCCTGCCCAATCCTGGGTAAGCCATTCAGTGTCCAAGAGGTATTCATGCAGCCTTTAGTCCAATCAAAATATCAACTGCGCATTTTTCCTTTTTGGAGAGGCATGAATCCTAGTCACATATGTCCTGATTTTTAAATAAACTTTTTGTACATTTCTTAGCAAATATTTGCAGGTACTGTTTGTGCTCTATTGCCCAGGAAGTTAACCAGTAGCCGATTTCCCTATCTGCCCAGCCTTAACTCTTCCTCCTGATGTCATCACCCTACCCTTTGTTCATAGATTGCATTGGTGAATATTTAATAGGTATTGATATATTGTGGGGTAAATGCCTACAAACTATCATAGGGGAATTCTGTTTGCATTGTGAGGTGATTAAGCATGCCTCTGAGGCACTGAAGGGGTGGAGTATTGGATTAAATTCTAATCAATGCCTGGGAAAGTTTGTAGTAAGAGAAGACCTCCAAAGAATGTGATGATGAAAGAAATGGAGAGGGGAAGCTGGCCACTTCCTTTATCTTCCATCTTCAGAAGAGGACCTGAACAGAATGACACTTATTGTACGCTAAAGAAATATACTCATAAAACAACTGAGAAATCCACCTGTACAGTGGGCATGCAACTTATCCCATATATTCCCCCTGTTTGTAGGTGGGGTGTGTACAGTCTGTTGCCATGAAAAGTATGAGTAATAAAATGTGCAAAACCTCCCTTTTGAGTCATCCAAGTTCTTTCTTTGGGATCAGTAAACAGTGCACTGGGGTAATTGCATCCCTGGGCTGAATACCATCTTGTTCACAACTGTACTCCCGGCACCCAGAACAGTGCTTGGTAAATAGTAAGTATATACTTAGTAAACATTTTTGGCATAATTTAATAATGGAAAAAGGGGGGATAAGATTCTTTTGTTTTGAAAATTTTTATTAGTTATTGATGGACCTTTATTAATTTATTAGTTTATATGTGGTGCTGAGAATCAAACCTAGTGCCTCACACATGCTAGGCAAGCACTCTACCACTGAACCACAACTCTAGCCCCTGGGATAAGACTCTTAATCATTCTTTTTTTAAACATACATATCAATTTCAATAATCAGGTACATGGCTCTTCTACTTAAAAGAATTCATTGCTCAGTGTCTCTTGCCTGTCTTACTATTTTAAGATGCTTCTGTCCTTAAAGCTGATATGGTTTCAAAATTAAGAAGAAAATAGAAGCTCTCATTTTCTTATGTTCTGATAATATCTACTTAATTAGTTTTGGGTGTTGGTAAGTTGATGAGAAGGTGTTTAGGTTCTGCCAAGAATAAAGCTGCAGCATGTGCACTCACTACACTTTCAGGCAGGGAATACACATCTCCAAAGGGAGGAACCCAGGAGACCTGAGGTCTGAGCCCATTGTGGTTCAATTTCAGTGCCACAGAATTGGATTTGTGTGCATATTGTGTGGTTCTTTAAACTAGGTCCACTCCTGCCTCTCCTCAAGGAATGTGGAGTTAGAAGACTAGGGTCTGAGGGGCTTCCTATGAGACCTTCGTTTTGTTGCTCCCTTTGATGAGAGGCATTCTGAGTCACTGCCTTACTCCTTTTCTCCCTAGTGACTAATTTATCAGTAGACTTTTGATGAGCTGAACTTCAGAAACAAAGCCTGCCCAACATGTTTCTGGTTGAAGTAATGAATGATTAATGGCTGCTGAAAACATTGAAAGCAAAGCTTATCTGAGCAAAGAAAGCCAAGTACTGGTATTTTATTTATTTAAAACAGGTTTTCCCTATGTTGCCCAGGCTATCCTGGAACTCCTGGGTTCTTGAGTAGCTGGGACTACAGGTACATCACTGCCATAACTGGCTTGATATTTATCTTTGAAGAGCACATTTTAATAAAAGTACTTCACTACATTAAGGAGTTGTCAATAATAAACAAAGCCGGCACTAAAATGTTAAGACAAGATTTTATTAGTATTTTTTCCAAAACAAAGAGAGTACAGTATAAACTGAACTCTATTTCCCTGAAACAAAAGGTGGGAGATGTTTTAAATGCTGTAGTGTTATAAAGGAAAGGCACTGCAGGCTCTAAAGTGTGTGTGTGTGTTCACGTGTGTGTGTGTGTTCACGTGTGTGTGCGCGCATGACAGAGGGGAAACAAATTTCTGTCATAACCACAGGAAACAGTGGTGCAAATTGAAACAGGGCACTTCTCACAAGTATTCAAGATTAGTGTGAGTTATGTTACATCTCAAAGAGATGGGGCTCAAGTCCACATTAACAAGGTTGGGTGGTAGGAAAAAAATTTATAATTAAGCTTTCTAAAGTTATAGCTCTGGTGCCTTCTGGGAAATTGAGGCAGCATAAAGACCCCCTTCAAACCCGATTCTTGAGATTAAGTCAGAGGATTTAGACATGTTGCTCACAGTAACAGGCATGAGTTTCTTGAAGGGATACGAAAAGAGAAAAGCGAAACTCTCAAGGGAGAAAGTGGGTCTTTTCAGATGAGAAGGACGTGTGCCTCCAGTTTTATTGGGGAGCTAAGAGATGTTTCCAGAGAGTCCCACCCAGGTCCACTTGTTGACTTTTGACTCACAGCAAGATAGCATGGCAATTTCAAATCCCCATTGCCATGGCAACTCTAGGTCACTTTGACCCATGCTGACAGGTTCTAATTGGATTCTTAACCATTAATTCTTACAGATTTTATGGTTAGGAGGAACTACACTTTCTTCCTGAGTTTTTGGGATCTGGTCTGTAAAAAGGGTTGCAAAAGTCTCCTTCTTCAGGGTAACTTGGGTTCCTCTTGTGGACATTATTTCAGATAACAGGTAGTTTGCTGAGGAATGTAACATATTTTGTCCACTTAAGCTGGGGTTCAAGTAAATTGCTTTTTGGAAAAGACAGCATGTATGTGGTCAGCACAGTGGGCCCATTTTATAGAATTATTATCCAATCCTCCTGTTACCACCATTCCCAGTTGTCTGTTCCCTGTCAAGAGGAGTTAAGACACCTATCATATGACTGGGTTTTGTCAGGAACAACAGTAAAATTCTATTAGCTTTGTGTTCAGGCAGGCATTTCAAGAGGGTCTGGGGTTATCTCAAGGACAAGCCTTTATGCTGCTGGAAACCATGAGGGTGATCAAATCTTAGTGCATAGGTTTGGTCAGAGTCACTATGTGCCAAGAGCAGCTTTCAGAAAAAGTGCTGTTAAAATTTAACTGGCTTTTAAGATAGTCAAAGCTTTACAATGTCTGTGTCTGAACTGTACCCCTTAGATAGTGGATTATGTTTTTAAACATAACGAATTGACATATTAATGAGTTGATAAATATAAAATATATAAACCAGATCATGAACTGCTTGGACAACTTGGGTTTCCAACTTGGCTAATATCTGCTTTTCGAGTTTATTCTCCAGGCTGTGTGCCAACTTTACATCCAGTTTATTCAGCTGCAGGTTTCCAAGGGCCACACCCAGCAAAGCCCGGTGCAATTTACCAACTGGAGGGAAGGACTTGTTAAAGAAGGAAGAGAAACGCCTCCAGGTGCGTGGGCTCCAAGTTTCTTTCCTACTTCTTACCACCACCGATTGTTCAACATATGACTATGACGCGCGTGGTTCTGCATTTCCTTCCTTAGAAAAAAAGGGCAGTAAACTTTTCGCAAATCCCTTTCCTTCTTTCCCCTTTTGTCCCCTTCCAGTTCCTCCTTTCTCTCAAGTCACCTTTTCTCTGGCTGTCTGGGTACTTACTTCCCTCCGCCTCGTCGCTGTGCGCCTGCGCCTGCGCAGATCGGGCCGTCGGCGAAGACAGGCGCTGCCAAGTTTGCACGGCCTTTGCTTTGCGACATGGCCGTAAAGCGCCGCCACGCACACTGGGACGTCACGGGTCCCGGGTGGCTGTTCTCGGCAGCTGACCCTGGTGTAGGTGGCGGTACCTGCTAGTGGAGATTTCTGTTTAGCAGTGGGGAAAGCGGCGGTTGGTTATTTGGGGAGAACTTCTAGTCTGTGTGTATTTTTAGATAGATGCAGCTGAAGAACCCGCGGGCCGCCGGGTCCTAGTGCCCGCTAGATACCCGGAGCCGGGGATCGGGCAGTGGGGCCGGCGGAGGCTGAGGCCCAAGCTAGGAACCTAGCTTCCTCGAAGCCGCCCGCGGGGCGCTGATGGCCGGACGCTCCCTGCGAAAGGCTTTAGCCACGGTGTCTCTCTCAGTAGCCTTGGCCTCCGTGACTGTCAGGTCCTCAGGCTGCCGCAATATTCCGGCGTACAGGTATTCACCCCTCCTAGTGCTGACCCCTATCCTGAGACCTTGGGTTGGGGGTGGGAGTCAGCTTCCTTTCCGGCGTATTCTGTAGGCTTTACTTATGACCCCGATTTACGCATCCCTATACCCCAAACAAAAACAAAACAAAACATAAATCTTCAAAATGTATTAGTTTTTTTTTGGGGGGGGGGAAATTAGTTCTGGGACCTTTATTAACCCCTGATTTTGAAATTTGCCGTCCTTTATAAGTCACCAACATTGTGGTCATCAGAGAGTTAAGCGCTTGTTTGGTTGGGTTCTGTTGCCCCGTGTCATTTTCTTTTCTGGCTAATATTTAAAACATCATGGACATTGGCTGTGTTTTACTAATATAAGTAGTCGTTGTTTTCTCTATATGGAAAGATTGACTTTGGCTGTTTGTATCTGGCTCCTAGTTTGGAAGTTCAGTGGAGAGTGTGTGAGCTGGTACCAGGTGTACAGACCTGAACCCTTTAACCCTAGAATTTACAGTAGTATAGTTTCCTCAACTTTATTTTCTAGTGTGACTTGTAAAATTATTAAACCTGTTTTTCTCTGTTTTCTAACACCAGTATTAATGGCAGGGGTCCCAGCTACCTCCCCTATTTTTTAAACTTTTGACTTTATCCTGGGAATAAATAGCTATTGCCAACTTTTAGTTTTCATTTGAATAACTTCCATAGTTATTGTCTCACTGCCCACTTAACAAACTTTGGGCTTACTGACTTCAAATTTGAAATCTCTTGGCTTCTCTTGTCGGGGTGGCATCTCTCACCCTTTTGTATATACTCCTAAATGTAATCTGTTCTACTCTGGCTTTTAGGCCATTATGGTTCTGGCCATTTGCCGTCTTCCTGAAATTGGTTAAAATCTCTTACTAGTGGTGTCCCACTCATTCTGATAGTATGGATTTTATTTCCTTGTATACATCTTTTATCTTCTTCCAGTGGAATTTGAGGAAGGAAGGAACACATGACAGTGGTATCTGGAAGTCACTAATTCTATTTTTGTTAGTTGCCCCTGGAACAATGTAAAGTTGCTTGCAATTATTCTTAATTTTTATAAGGTGGGAACTCTAGAACCAGAGACTGCATACCAGCTTAGAAGAAAAACCCAGAAGTTAAGTCAACAAATATGTGTGGAGTACCTGGTTTCTAATGTTGCAAAGCATTCTGGAGAAGACAAAATAAATGTATTATTGAGAATATTACCATTCTTGGTCTGGTAGGGTGGCCCATACCTGTAGTCCCAGCAGCTCGAGCGGCTGAGACAGGAGGATCCCGAGTTCAAATCCCACCTCAGCAACTTAGTGAGGCACTAAGCAACACAGTGAGACCCTGTGTGTGAATAAAATACAAAAAGGGTCCGGGGATGTGGCTCAGTGATCGTGTGCCCCTAAATTCAATCCCTGGTATCTCTCCCCCCCAAAGGCTCAGTGATCGTGTGCCCCTAAGTTCAATCCCTGGTATCTCTCCCCCCCAAATTTACCATTCTTTAATAATTGGGGAAAATCCAGAAAGTGACAGTTTTTTTAAAAAATATCATTTATTTATTTTCCGGCGGACACAACATCTTTGTATGTGGTGCTGAGGATCGAACCCGGGCCGCACGCCTACCAGGCAAGCGCGCTACCGCTTGAGCCACATTCCCAGCCCAGAAAGTGACAGTTTTGCAGTTAGTTTTTTTGAGTTCACCAGTTTCAAATGTCTGTTTTCTATAAAAAGCAACAGTATTTGGATTGTTATGTTTCCAGGTTTCCCAGCAGGATCTACCACAACATACCTTGGTTGAGAACATTGTATATTTTGTTTCTGTAAAAAAAAAAAAAAATAAATAAAATATATATAAAATATCTGTCTGAGCTAAAGATTGAAATAGAGATAGTTTTGCATAGTGTTTAGAGCCTGAAACTCTGAGCCAGTTTGCCAGGATTTGGTTCTGATTCTGTTATCAGTTGTGTGACTTTGGTAAACTTGCTTAGCCTCTCGGGCCTTAATGTTCTTTTTTATTTTATTTTATTTTTTTGTAGATGAGCCTTAATGATCTTATTTCTAAAAGAAGAAAAATACCTAAACTCAGAGTTGAGGGGCTGGGGATGTGGCTCAAGCGGTAGCGCGCTCGCCTGGCATGCGTGTGGCCCGGGTTCGATCCTCAGCACCACATACCAACAAAGATGTTGTGTCCGCCGAAAACTAAAAAATAAATATTAAAAATTCTCTCTCTCTCTCTCTTAAAAAAAAAAACAAACAAACAGAGTTGAGGATCAAATGAGTTAATAATATTACAATATTTGGAACAATGTTTTTCACACACAGCATGCACTTACTATATATATATGTAGTTATAACTATTATGATTATTGAAAATTTTTTTTTTGGTTTAAAGCACACATCACTATTACATTTCTTTTTTCTTTCTTTCTTTTTTTTTTCTTTTTTTTTTTTTTAGTATTGGGGGATTGAACCCAGGGATACTTAACCAGTGAGCCACATTCCCAGCCTTTTTTGCATTTCACTTAGAGACAGGGTCTCACTGAGTTGCTTAAGGCCTCCGTAAGTGGCTGAGACTGTCTTTGAACTCATCATCCTACTGCCTCAGCCTCCCAAGCCACTGGGATTATAGGTGTGTGCCACTGTAATAATGCCTGGCAAAATTGCATTTCCTTAAATTTGCCAGTTTTGGTAACCAATTTTTGCTTTGTAAGATACAAAGGTATTTAATTACCTTTGGTAGAACAAATAAATTTCTTGCATCTATTCAGTAATGCAGTTAAAAGGTCTAAGCTGTATATGTATATATGATAAGTATACTTGTTCTGATATCTTTTAGTATGTCACATTACACAGAAGATATAAATGGCATTAGTGCTTCTTTGTAGGGTAAGAGGAATTTTTGATGTTGTTCTTGCAAAATTAAAATTATTTAGAAAAGTAACAATCATAAAATTATTTAGAAAAGTAACAATCAGGTGTATTACGTTTTCTCTCGTTTGAGTTCGTAGCAGATTTTTGGAATTCCATATGCTTAACCTTGCTAAATCAGGGAACAGAGAACCCAAAATTACTTAAAGAACATTTTTCGTACATGTTGGGGTAGAGTTTAACAAGATTCGTGTTTCTTGTGGACATTTTTTCCTTGCCCTGCTATCAAATCATGAAACATAATTGTCATTTATAACAGAATTTATCTAGAGACTAGGGCTTCATATATTATATTATGCTTTTAAAATAACATACCTGAAATCTAATTTTGATAAATCTGTGTTTCATATTTATACATTTTTATTGAGTATGAATTTAGAATCAGTGGGAAAGATCTTTTAAGAGTAGTCATCATTTAGATTTCCAAGGTTGTGGCAGCTGAAGCAAGTAAGTTATCATAACATGAAAATAGTGAATGAACTTTTACTAAAGTTAGTCACAAGTTGAAACTCTCCCACTTTATGCTAATGTTCATTCTCTCTGGGGATATTAATTTCTTTACTAGTCAGGCTTTCCCTGAATTTTGGGTGTTTGACACTACTTCATGGATTCAAAGGGAATGCAAAATGAAATGGTGCTTGTTTCAAAGTCTTTAAATAGGATGAAAGACATCTTGAATTGCACAAGAGCTATAGACACAAGAATAGGAAAGATTTAAACCAGTAAAAAGTCAAGGAAGAGAAGACAGTGTGGCAGTTTTGTAGAAAACTAAACATAACTGTTATTGTATGACTCAGCTATCACAATTTTTGTTATTTATTCAAATTAATGAGGTTGTGTTCACACAAAAACCTGCACACAGATATCAGCTTTATTCAAAAGTGCCAAGATTTACATGCAACCAAGATGTCTTTTGGTAGGTGAATGGGTAAATAAACTGTGGTACATCCAGATAATGGAATAATAAATGCTAAAAGTGAGTTATTTAAGCCATGGAAAGATATGGAGGGATCTTATATGTCTTTTACTGAGGGAAAGAAGCCAATCTGAAAAGGCTATCTGATTCGAACTATATGACAATTCTTGAAGGCAAAACTATGAAAACAGTAATGAGATCAGGAGTTGTGGGGGCAGGATGAATGAATTGGGGGAGCACAGATGATTACTTTTTAATAGCTTATTTTTTAGAGCAAAATTGAATAGAAGTTATATAAATTTCCCATGTATCCCCAACCCTTATGCATGCATAGTTTCCCCCTTATAGTGTATCTCACAGAGTAGTATGTTTGCTGGGTTAATGTGTCATTGTCACCTAGAGTTCCATAGTTTACATTAGAGTCTCTGTTTTATTTATGGATTTGGATAAACAGTGTAATCACATGTTTTTATATTGTTCATTGCATATACAATACACTTTGAAGAGGGGTCTGGAGGTGGTGTGATAGGCAGTCCTTGAAGGTCAGGTTAAGAATTTTAATCTTAATTTTTAATAAGTTTCTATATAATTTAAATACATAATTTGACTTTAATGCATAAATTTCATCACTTCATTCATACTTCCCTTTCTTTAATATGTTTGGATAGTCCATTCTTGCTTGCTTCCTTTTCTTATCCCTTCTTTTTAACCTCCTGCTCTTTTTCTTCCTTTCTCTCCCCTTCTTTGTCACACTGTCTTCCCATTTTGTATCGCTTCCCTCTTTCCCTTTTTCTCCTCCCAACCTTTCCCTCATATTCTCCTTTCCTTCTGTGTCTACCTCACAGTGGCACTGTATTTTCTAATCCATATTAAGAAACTGAAGATATGCTCTTTCTGTAGTTTCTACCACACACAGGTAATAAATAGTAAAAACATTTGTGGAAAGCAGAATAATCCCCCCCCCCACCCCAAAGATGTCCACCTCCTAATATATGGAGCCTCTAAATATGTTGCTTGGGAAAAGAGACTATAGATTTTTTTAAGTTTAAAGACTTTGAGCTGGGAAATTATCCTGGGTTAGCCAGGTGCATCTGATCTAATCAAGTCCTCAAAAATGGAGACATTCTGGACTGTATTCAGAGAAAGGTATGACTACTGAAAAATGGTCACAGATTCATTATCTTTGAAGGTAAAGAACGGGAGCCATTGTCATAGAACCACGGTGCCCTCTAGAAAAGGTGTTATAGTAGCAATAGAAAACTGATTTATGTACATACTCTTACTTAAAGTCATTATTTTATAAAATTATGATCTTATTATATACACTTTTCTACACCTTGTTTTTCTTTCTTTTTTAACCAATATCTTATGAAGATGTAGCTAAGTCATTTGATGATGTTATTTTTTTAAGCAATTTTTTTTAGTTGTAAATGGACACAATGCCTTTATTTTGTTTATTTACTTTTATGTGGTGCTGAGGATTGAACCTAGTGCCTCACACATGCTCTACCGCTGAGCCACAACCCTAGCCCCTGATGATGTTATTTTTAACAGTAAATAAATTTCTCCTTGCCAGTACTTGCTGTGTTCTTTTATCATAATGACCACCATAATGGGTATGAGGTAACATCTCTTTGTGGTTTTGTGTTGCGTTTTTTTAATGATTAGTGACGTTGACATTGACTTTCTTTGCATGTATTTGTTGACCAGTTATATATCTTTGTAAAAATGTCTGTTCAGGCTCTTTGCTGATTTTGTAATTGGATTATTTTCTTGTTGAGTTATAGGAGTTCTTTACATGTTCTGGGTCTACCCAACACCCTATCAGAGATATGATTTACACTTCCATTTTTATGAGTTCCCTTTTCACTGTGTTGTGTTCTTTTTTGGGCCTATATTTTGATGTCCAGTTTACTTAGTTTTTTTTTTGCTGCCCATGTTTTTGTTGTCATATATAAGAAATCATTTCAGATCCAGTATTGTGATTCAGTCCTATATGTGTTTTTCTAAGAGTTTTATCATTTTTGGTTTTATGATTAGGTCTTTTTTGTTATTGCTAGGAGTCAAACCTAGGGCTTAAACATTTTTGTCAGGTGCTCTGCCACTGAGCTATATCCCCAGCCCTGATCTAGTTTTAGTTAATGTTTGTATATGGCATAAAGAAAAGGTTCTTTTTGCATATGAATAACCAGTTTTCCCAGTATAATTTGTTGAGAAGATTCTTCTTTCCTGGTTATATGGTCTTAGCACACTGTTGAAATATTTGATCCAAGTTAAGGAACTATATAGGTGTCCATGAACAGATGAGTGGATAAAGAAAATGTGATATACATATTATATACATAATAGAGTTTTCTTCAGCCATAAAGAAGAATGAGACTGTCATTTATGGGAAAATGGATGGAATTTGAGAATATTTTGTTAAGTTTAAATAAACTCGACTCAGAAAGTCAAGAGTCATGTGTTTTCTTGTACATGTGAAACCTAGAGAGAATAAAGGAACAACAAAGGGGATGGGGAATCTAATGAAATGAGAAGGGAGGCCAGCAGAGGAGAGGAAGGGGACTGGGGTTGGAGGCTAGAAATGAAAGGGAAAGTACTGGGGAAAACTTTACCAAATATATCACAATAATTATGTATAATTATAATTCATCAATAAAGAATAATTAAAAATAAGATATATTTGGCCATATATATGAAGGTTTATTCCTGGGCTTGCTATTCTGTTCCATTTATCTATAATGTCTTGGCATGATATAATAATAATGATAGAATCTATAGATTACCTTGGGTAGTTTTAACGTCTTTACAATATTAAGTCCTCCAATCAGTGAACATGGAATGTCTTTTCATTTATTAATATCTTATTTAATGACTGTCAGCAACCTTATGCAGTATTTAGTGTACAGGAGTTTTACCTCTTTGAAGTTAATCACTAAATAATAATTTTTTTTGTCCTATTTTAAGTGGAATTATTTCCTTAATTTTCTTTTTGTATTGTTTATTGTTAGTGCTTTGAATGTAACTATTTTGTTGAATTCATTTATTTGTTCCAACAATTTTATTCTTGGAGTCTTTTGCATTTTCTAAATAAAAGATCATGTGATTTGCAAGTAGATTATTTTCCTTCTTTCTTCCCAATTTGAATGTATTTTATTTTGGAGCTTTCATCAGTTTACCATGTTCTCAGATCCCTTTATCCACTTTAGATGTTCTTTTTTTTTTTTAAAGAGAGACTGAGAGAGGAGAGAGAGAGAGAATTTTTAATATTTATTTTTTAGTTCTCGGCGGACACAACATGTGGTGCTGAGGATCGAACCCGGGCCGCACGCACGCGCTACCACTTAAGCCATATCCCCAACCCCAACTTTAGATGTTCTAATTTAGGGTCATTGGAAATTTTAATTTTTATTGTAAGAATATTAAGAATCTAAGTTTTTAGGCAAGAGGAGACTTGTGTATGCTCTGAGGTTAGTATGTAAGTTTAGTTATTAGTTTTTTCCTGTGCTCTCCAATTATTTTATATTCTTTAATTTTATTAAATTTTGCTCTAAAGTTATATATTTACACACATATATGCATTTGCATACATATACACACATATATATCAATCACTAACTTCAAATAATATTACATTAATTGCTTCGTTACTTCATTCCATTGTGTAAGAACTTTATAACAGTAAATTTTCATCTTCCTATTTTTCCTTTGTGCTATTTTATCATGTTTTATACATACATGTTAGACTATAGATGGTTTTTAAAAAATATATTCCTTTGAATAGACTTAAACAGTTTTACTTCATATTTATGGTTGAGTTATAACAAATTTCCCTTTTCTAACAAGTAATACAAAAGTAAATTTGTCCTTTTTTCTCAATTAAAATCAGTGAATAACCTCCAATTAATAAAATTTAATATTAAAACATTTTTCATATTTGAAAACCTTTCACAGATTGACTGTTACATAAGTATATATCAAATTTAATTTTCTGGTTTTTAAAAGCTTTTGAAATTGAAAACTATGGTTTTTGGCCTTTGAATTATGTTTTTAAATTAACATATTTTTGGTGTTTCTGTAAAATGTTTCTCCTTTTTTTTCCTTCCCAGAAACTCACTTTTATCCTCTTGGTTTCATCTTAACTCCAACATCATGTCTGGTTCTAATGGTGTCAAAGACAATTCCCACAACAAGGCTCGGACATCTCCTTACCCAGGTTCAAAAGTTGAAAGAAGCCAGGTTCCTAATGAGAAAGTAGGCTGGCTTGTTGAGTGGCAGGACTATAACCCTGTGGAATATACTGCAGTTTCTGTTTTGGCTGGCCCCAGGTGGGCAGATCCTCAAATCAGGTGAGTAAAGAACCTGTAATTAGCTGGGTATAGACTTTTGGAAAAGGTAGTGAATATATTTGTAAAATTATTTTTTGACACTTGAAAAATAATTTTTATCTGTGTTTGACTTTTATACAACTCAGTTTTGATATTTGCTTGAATTTTTGCCAAAGCTAAGCAGTTCACCTTTGTTTATTTTTGAGGGGATTTTATGAGTACACTTTCTAATAGGTAAATCCATTTTGATTTGAAATAACTGCCATTAGTTATAAAATAACAACTGGTGATATCTATTTTCATGTGTTTTTTTGGGTTATCAATAGTTCATCTTTCAAAACTAGTCTCGTATTTGAAGCAGTGAAAATATTTTTCAGATAGTTTTTCAGATAGTTAAGAATAGGATGATAATAAATTAGACCCCTGTGAAAAAATAGAAAAGGGATAGATAAAGAGTGGGTGGGGCTGGGGATAGAGAGAGGGAGAGGGAAAGAGAGGAAACATTGAGGCTTGACTCAAAAAAAATATTCTCTTGACTAAATTCATAGAAGTGCGACATTGGTTCACATTTTATGTTTATATTTCTTATTTTTTTTCCAGCTTCATCAAGGTATAATAGACAAAAGTGTATATTTAAAGTGTAAAATTTGCATTTTGATACACATATACATTGTGAAATGAGTACCACAATAAAGCCAACTAACATTTCTGTCACTTCACATGTTTACCTCTTCTTTTTTTGTGGTGCCAACATATGAGATCTACACTCAGCAATTTTTTGGGATACATTATTATATATTATTAGCTATGGTCACTGAACTGTAAGTTAGGTTTGTAGAATTTATTCATTCATTCTGTGTAACTGAAACCTTGTATCCTTTGATCAACATCTTTCCATTAAACCTGTTGTTTCTTTTAATAATAAATGTAATGGTAGAGATTTTTCTTTTCCAAAATTAGTTTTTTTTTTTTTTTTTATGGTCCTGGGTATTTAACCAGGGTCTTCCTTGTACATGCTAGGCAAACATGAGCTATTTCCCTAGCCATTTTCTTTTTTTTTTTTTTAATTTTAATTTTGAAATAGGGTCTGACTAAGTTGCCTGGGTTGGCTTCAAACTTGCGATTCTCCTGCCTCAGTCTCCCACATTGCTGGTATTAGAGTCATGTGCCATCATGCCTGAGTAGTTATTAACTAGATTTACTTTTATTATTATTATTTTTTAGTGTTGGGGATTGCTAAGCATGCACTCTTCAACTGAGTTATATCTCCAGGCTAACTTTATTTTTAAACATATACATTAAAGCTATTCATATTAATGAGGTACTATGTGATATTTTGATGAATGTATATATTTTGTAATGTTTAAATGAGGTTAAACATATCTGTCTCCTCAAATATTTGCCTTTTCTTTATGGTAAAAATGTTCAAAATCCATTCTTCTAGCTTTTATGTAAAAGTACATACTGCTCTCTATAGTCATCCTCCTTTGCAACAATACACCAGAACTTCTTACCATAAAAAAATGATAAATGTTTAAGGAGATAGAAATGCTAATTACTCAAATTCAGTCATGACAATTCTATATATGGACCAAATTATCACACTACCCATAAATATGTTAATTAAAAAAAACCAGAAAAAAATGGAAGCACAAAAAGTTTATCCTTTGTCTATGGTTACAGAGATACTATATGGTATAGTTTGTACTTAGATTCAGTCTGATTCCAGACTGAATCTTAACCATTTTGTTACATTGTCACATTACTTTTAGAACATTTTATTTAAAAAGTTTGATTCATTAAGTTTATTATAAATGATAGTTTTCTCACAATAATTATTGTAAACTACCCAGTGCTAAATAAAGACATTTGCTAATTGAATAGGTCTAGTAATAGTTTATTAGATTGTTAAACTTCACCGTGGATTTATTCCTGTGATTTGATTTTGACTCATGGTTTTCTTATTGTACTCACAGGTAATGTTTGTAACTTTATGATAGTCTTAGGATATTAGTCATGATGACATCTGTGGAGAAATTATTAGCTTTAAATGAGTTCCATTTCCCCCATTTTAGAGATTGTACATAATTATAAATCTATTATATATAGACATTAAGCACAATTAAAAATTAATAATATTGGCAGGGTACTATATAATGTAAATAGATGAAGATGGAATACATTTTTTTGTTCTTTCAATTTATTTTTTGAGTTAACTTTGTGTCACTATCTGAGTCAAGCCTTATTACTAATATTAATGCTTCATTTATAACTAGATTTACATTTTTTAAAAAATGATGAATTTCTAGAATCTCAAAAACATTATAATTTTGGTTTTATAATTTCATGGCTTTTATCATTTAATTTTTCAATATTTGTGTGTGGCATATTGGTTAAAAATTTTGAGAGAATGTCTGGATCATTCAAATTGGATATTATTCCCCAAACAGATCACAAGTATTTCTTTATTCATTTATTGGAATTGTTATAGCAAGAAAAAGTAAAACATATGTCAAAACTGTCCAGGAACTAACCAGTGCCACACAACTCTTTATCCACTATTAGTATAGTTACATCAATGATGTCCTAATGGTGCAGTTATATAGTTTAAGTGGTTAAGATATTTTTGTTGAGGGGTGGGTGATATAAATGCAGTTAAGTCCACATTTTCTTGTAAGTGTGCAGGTGAAGCTCAGCAAAATTGTGTTTGTATAGCTCTGTAACTACAACCAAGACCAAGATCTAGAATAGTTCTAGCATATATATGTGTTTTTAATAATCACAATCTACATATGTGTTTTTTAATCTGTGGGGTAAATTTACTGTTTTAAGAGTGTACTTTGATAATACTAATCAGTATACATTTGAAGAAATTAAGATTTTAAACAATTGAAACATCAAGATTATCAGGTGTGGTAGTGCACACTTGTACTCCCAGCTAATTGGGAAGCTGAAGCTTGAGGATTGCAAGTTTGATGCCAGCCTCAGCAGCTTAGTGAATCCTTGTCTCAGTAAAATATAAAAGGGCTAGGGGTGTAGTACAATGGTAGAGCCTGCCTTGTTTCAATCCCCAGTAGAGAAAAACAAACAAACAGAATATAAAAAGGAATCTTTATTTTTGGAACTACACAATACTAATCCTATAATGTTCTACAAACAATTTTTTTTTGCTGAAGGTAGTGTAAACTTTTTTTTAATAGTATGGGGAGGACCTTCAGTTCTTTTGCCAATAGTTCTTCTAAGAGTGATTTTTTTTATAGAATTTTTTTTTTAATATTTATTTTTTAGTTCTCGGCGGACACAACATCTTTGTATGTGGTGCTGAGGATCGAACACGGGCCGCACGCATGCCAGGCGAGCGCACTACCACTTGAGCCACATCCCCAGCCCCCTAAGAGTGATTTATAAATATAGTAATAATACACATCCTTGTAATGTTTTTTTTTCTTCTTAAGTAACTATTCTGAAGAAATTAGATGGATTTGTAAATAAAAACTAACCTTTAAAAATTTATTCATTCAAGGAAGTCACTTATGAATAATAGATAATAATAGACTTATATTATTAAGCTATTGGTAGTATTGAATGATTATGTCTTGATTTGTATTGGTATTCTCATTACAGTGAAAGTAACTTTTCTCCCAAGTTTAATGAAAAGGATGGGCATGTTGAGAGAAAGAGTCAGAATGGCCTGTATGAGATTGAAAATGGAAGACCTAGGTAGGTATTGAGGATGGAGCATCTTACAATAATGGTCTTCAAAATGTAGAAAAGATAACTGAAATTTATTATATGATTGTATGTGCCAAACATTGTGCAAAAATTTTATATATGCAATCTAATTAAATCTTCAAAACTATGGTTATATGTTTTTAGTTTCTGTTTACAGATATGGAAAGAGTATAAGTAGCTGAGTCAGAATTTAAATGCATTTTTTCATTATTTTGTCTTGGAGGTAGAAATAATTAATTGAATAAATTAATAGAAAGGATTGAAAATTGTAGTTTTAGTTTTTATTGATGCCTTAAAGTAAGAATTTATCCAAAGTAAGAATATAACTAACTCAATAATTTTAGCAGCAATGTTTTTGTATACTTTGAAAAATGATTTTTCTACACAACTCAAAAATATCCATTTTCCTTAAGAAGACACAGAAATGAGGAGTAAATGTGAAAATTAGCATGCCCTATGTAAAATGATAAGAATCACAATTATGGTTATAACCTTATAAAAATGTTGCAATCTTTATTTTAGTTTCTTTAGAAAAAGGAGGTGGTAGTGTTTCTTTCACTGCAACCTGGCCCTTCAATGTTGCTAAATTCTCCCCTTGATCATAACTTATTCACTTTCCAATGATCATTGAGTCTTCTTAAGTGAACTCTTGAATTTAATTTATTCCTTAGGTTCTTTTCTGAGTAAAATATATGAAAGTGTATATATATATACACACATACACACACACACATACACACAGAGAAAATGATAGGCAGCAAAGCCAAGATAGGTTATTATTTTTTTTTTAAAAGGGGGGGGGGGAGAGAGAGAGAGAGAGAGAGAGAGAGAGAGAGAATTTTTTAATATTTATTTTTTAGTTCTCGGCGGACACAACATCTTTGTATGTGGGGCTGAGGATCGAACCCGGGCCGCATGTATGCCAGGCGAGCACGCTACCGCTTGAGCCACATCCCCAGCCCCGAGATAGGTTATTATTTTAGTTAGGATTCTAACAGAAGCCAGTTTCTATTTCCCTATATGTCGGGTTCATTTTTCTTTCTTTGAAAACAATTTTCTCTGCTTCTCAGGCTATATGATAATTTCTGTATGTCTGTTTCACAGTTTCTAGTTTACAAGTTATAAACTTGGTCCTTATATAAAGTAATGTTCTCTTTACATTAGCTTTGGTCATTTGTGTTCAAGAGTGTGTTTTTACATAGAATAGAAAATGTATGTTGACCACCTTGTTCTTTTTCCTGCTATTACTGATTAGATCATTTTATTGGTATATAATGAGAGTTGAACATTTAGAGAATGTCGACTAAAGTTACTCAGGTATGAGTGTTGATATATTTATCTGACAGACTTTTAACACTGGGTTATGGTATTATGTTATAAAGCAAATGGAACTCTAATAGATTTCTAGTACACTAAAATCTAATTTTATAAAGATGATATCAATATCTTACTTTGTGTTATATTTATTTATGTGTGTGCAAATGTACATATACACATGTAAATATGTATACATGTATACAAAACATCTGTGTGTGTATGTATACATATATGTTTATGTTTATATATATATATATATATATATATATAAATGTGTATGTTTACATACCAAAATCTCAGTGTGTGTTACAAAATATATATTATTGATACACTGATATAGCAATGTCTTGAACCCACTTAGGAAAAATGACCTTAAAAATGTAGTATAAACTAATGGAAGGGTTGTAGGAGACTAAAATAGGAAAAGAGAATGATGAGAAAGTAAAGAGAAATTGGCTATCCTGAAAGATAAACTGTTGTAGAGATAGATGTTTGGGTACAGAGCATTTTAAGGATCCAGTTAGGTTTAGTTTGGATTTAGGTGGGCACATGAAAACTGAAACAAATTTGTATATTGTAGAAACACTTTGGAAATCAGATCATACAGATTAAATCTAAAGCTTAAGACATGTGCAAAAGAAAATTTAAGTAACAGTATGATGTGATATGATTTCAGTGGTAGATATGTGACAATATTGCTAGATTTATGAGGAAATACATTTCTCTTCTAGTACACTTTGTGTGGGGGTTATAGCAAGTTGGGTTAAAAAAGATGTACTCATTCAATTGATTTTATGTTTTTATTTCCCCCCAGAAATCCTGCAGGGCGAACAGGATTGGTTGGCCGGGGGCTTTTGGGGCGATGGGGCCCAAACCATGCTGCAGATCCTATTATAACAAGGTGAGAACCAAATGAAATATTTTAGTAAAGAGCTAAGTGATTAGAAAAATGCAGACTGTAGCTATATGTGTGTGTTTCCATGTGTGTAGGTACAGTATATCTGTATGCATATATGTAAATCTGCATACTTATAGACAAATATTTATAGATGTATTTATAAATATGTGTATATATGTTCACATACATGTATATGCACTTATGTACACACGTAAATATAATCCATATTTTAATGGGACATTTAGAATTATTATGACTTAAGTGTAAAGCTGCAGTTTTATGTTGTATGAGTAAATTAAGCATTTAAAGTTAAGCTCACTAGATATTTAATGAATTGTCTAGTTGTTTTTGGCATTGAGTAGGCACTGCAGAGGATGTGTATAAGAATCCAAGGTCAATTATTTGATGCAGATTCTCAATGTAATCAAAAAATGCAGTAAACACAAGATATATAAAATTGCTGCTGGTGTAACATAGCATACTCTTTTTTTAGTTATTCTTTTTAGGTACATGACAATGCATTTTGACATGTTATACACGCATGGAACATAACTTCCCATTCTTGTAATCACAAGAATGTATGTGATGTGGACTAAAACTGATTCTGTATTCATATATGAACATAGGAAGCTTATTTCTGTTTCATTCTACTGTCTTTCCTATTCTCATCCCATCTCCCCCCTACCCTTCATTTCTCTTTGTCTGATCCAATTAACTTTTATCCTTCCCCCCTCCCTCTCCTTGTGGATTAGCAGTTAGCATCTGCGTTCAGCCTCTGATTTTCCTGATTGGCTTATTTCACTTAGCTTCTTGTCCTTGATAGTCTCTAGTTCCATCCATTCACTGGCAAATGCCATAATTTCACTTTTCTTTATGACTTAGTACTATCCTATTGTATATATGTATACCACGTTTTCTTTATTCATTCATCTGTTAAAGGGTACCTGGGTTGGTTCCATGAATCTAAATAAAAGAAGGTAGGTAAATTTAATATTTAGGTGGACTTAGCCATTTCCACAGGAAACATCTTTTCCAGTGCGTCTGGAATATTCTGTTATATCTACCATTCTTCTTCTTTTTATTTTTATAATTTGTTTACTGACCAACGCTTTCCCTATCATAATGATTACTTTCCTTCTTTAAATAATGCAAATATCCTTAATGTTTTTTTTTTTTTTTTTTTTTTAGTTTTGATATTTTGGATACCTTTCCTTTTTCAAGGAAACTGTTTTTCTCTGATCTGAGCTGTGATAATGATTTGAAGCTCTAGGAAGTTTGACTTTAGGAAGTCAGCTTATTTGCCTTATTTTAAAGTTACTGAAAAGAGGCACTAATACCACCCTGTCCTATTGTCTTACCCTTTCAATTCCCTGTCTCAACTGATCTTTATTCCTTACAACTTCCCTTTTTTCCATCTCTCTATCCTTTTGTCCATCCATTCATCTACTACCTACTAACTTATCTACCTACCATCCTACCTATTTTTCTATCTACAATTCTCTTAAAACTTTTATGGTTTAAGTGAGAAAGGAACAGTGAATGCATTCTTGTGAATGACCTGAAGTAAAAAAATATTACTGGCATTATCGGTTTCTTTCTAATGTTGAGAAGTTGGCTAAACATAGGAAGGTTTGAAGTGGAACTATAATGCTAATAAAAGGACAAGAAGCAGAAGAGGGAAGCTGGAAACTTGTATGTTAGCAACTCTTATGGTTTGGATCTTAAATTTATCCCACAGGCCCATGTATTAAAGGCTTGGTTTCAGCCTATGGCACTGTTTGGGGGAGGGTGGTGGAACCTTTAAGAGGTGGGGCCTAGTGGAAGTAAGTGAAGTCATTGAGGGGCCTTGAAGAGGATGCTGGGATCCTGACATATATTCCTCCCCCACCCCTTCACCCTCCCTTTGGTTTCTAACCATCATGAAGTGAGTAGTTACCTCTGCCATATCCTTCCCCTTCTTGCCACGGGACCAAATACACTGGAACCAACCTACCATGGACTGAAATCATGGACCACAATAAATCTTTCATCCTTATAATTTTATTTTTTTCAGGTATCTAATTACAGTGTCAGAAATTAACACAGAAAATTAGTACTGAGAAGTGGAGTCATTGCTGTGATTATACCTGACAGTGTGGTTCAGGCCTTTGGAATTAGCGTATGGGAGAAATTTGGAAAAGTTTGGAGAAGCAGGCTAGATAAACCCTAGAATTCTGAAGACAGAGCCTAGTGGGTGATTCTGGTGAAAGCTCAGAAGACCAGAATGCTGTTAGAAATATAAAGAGAAAAGGCCAGGCTCATGAAGTGTAAATGAGGACTCTCTTGGAAATTGGACTAGAGTCCATTTGTATGTGTTACATTTTGTCGAAGAACTTGACTACCTTTTGTGCATGCCCTGAGACTTTATGGGAGGCAAAGTTTATTTATTTATGTATTTATTTTTTTTGGGGGGCTATCGGGGATTGAACTCAGACTCACTTGGCCACTAAGCTACATTCCCAGCCCTATTTTGTACTTTATTTAGATAAAGGATCTCACTGAGTTGCTTAGCACGTCGATTTTGCTGAAGCTGGCTTTGAACTGGAGATCCTCCTGTCCCAGCCTCTGGGATTACAGGCGTGTGCCACCATGCTCAGCTTGAGACTGAGTTTAAAGGTGATGGATTAATTAGTCTTACAGAGGAAGTTTCAAGGCAGCACAGAATTCTGTCAGTGGCAAGATATTATTGATTGTTTTAGCCAGATTTGCAGTGAGATTTGGGAGCAAAAAGCAGAGTGGAAATATCTGAAAAACTTACAGTTCAGCCAGAAAAGGGGAGAAATTAAAGTTGCTTTTAAGGAGGGTACAATTGCTAAAAAGATTAGCACCATAAAAAAGAAACTTTATATTGGGATGATAGGAAAGATGCCTTAAGGGTATTTCAGGTATCAGCTGGACCCTACCCATCACAGATTCAAAGGTATAAAAAAGGTACACTTGTTTCCAAGACTCATATTTGAGCAGAGAGCTCTGCTCACTCAGGTCCAACTATAGAACTATTTCCTTGGGATCATTTTCCCTGTGTTCAGGCATTCAGAGACTGCAGATTTGGTTCTATTGGGCCCTGGTATAGCTCCTACAGGCAGCAGACCTTGGTGTCATCTGTGTGATGCTGGTTTTGCAGGTATGCAGAATGCAGCAAGATTGCAAAGGAAATCTTGGAAGGTCAGGCATTGTATGGTAGTGTAGGCCTCCTTGCAACATAGCCCCTTACAGAGTGATGTGTAAGGTTGTGAGAAGGAAGCCAAGGCTGCGATTGAGATCCCAGCCAGAAAAGTAGGCTTCATCCAACAAGATTGTAGGGATGGGGCTGCCCAGTCCTTTTGGAGGTCCCATAATGTTACTTTGTGCTCCTGATGACACATGGAGTTAACAATATATAATGTTTTCCCTGCTGTGTTTCCATCTTACTTTGGTCCTTTTCTTCCTTTCTATGCTCCTATTCCTTCCTTTTGGAATGGGAATATTTACCCTATTCATTCCCAGCCATTGTGTTTTGAAAGTTTGTAACTTTTTGATTTTTATAGAAGTTCACAGCTAAGAATTGCCTTGAGTCTCAGAGGAAACTTTGGACTCCGACTTTTCAGCAATACTGGGAGTTCTTGGAGATGGACTGAATGTATTTTGTGTTGTGAAATTGACATGAGCCTTTGGGGGCCAGAGGCATAATGTTATAGTTTGGGTCTTAAGTGTCCTACAAAGGCTCATATGTTAAAGGTTTGGTTGCCACCCTGTTGTACTTTTGGGAGGTAGTGGAACTTCTAGGATGTGTGGCCTAGAGGAGGAAGCTAGGTTATCAGGGGCATGCCTTTGAAGGGAATATTGAGACCCTGGCCCCCTCGCTCTCTGTTTGCTTTATAGCCTGTATGAGGTGACAGGCCCTCTCTGTCATGAGTTGATGCCTTGAGTTGTTGCCTTACCACAAGCCCAAAGTGATGGGTCTGTACTTTTAGGTTGATGTTTATTATCTTAATAATGCATGTATTAATTGATAAATTGCTCTAAATAGATGAGTGGCAGGAAAATGGAGGGATAAGAAGAAGGAAAGATGTTGAAGGAAGAATTAACAAGACTTAAATGGATTATTAAAAATAATGCTCTACTACAGCCATTCTTCTAGGTCCTACTTTGATTTCCCAGAGTAGGTATCAATACATCCATTTTACAGATTTGGAAATGAAGTCTTAACTTGGGTAAGTGATTTATCTAAATCTTTCAGATCTGAAATTTGAATCAGGGATATGTGGCTTTAGATTTTGTACTTTTTCCTTTAGCCATAATGAGTAATCATAAGAATCACATGGGCATGAAGATTCCATCCCCCTTTCTTTCATGTATTTCAAGATTCAAAACAGCATTGTATAGTACAGAGTTTCACAAACTTTCCAGTTCAGAATCTTCAGGGCAAGTATGAAATTTTCAGATTCCCAATAAGTTCCTTCACATTCCTTAAAGTTAAGATGAGATAGGAAGTGTTGTATATTATTGTGAATAAACTTCATTCAAATAATTAATGGCAATATCATTTTCTTTTCATTTTTGGTTAAGCATAGGAAGGTGTATGCCATCAGAAGTGGTTAGAGAATGTCAATAGTGAAGATGGGAGGGGAGGGGAAGGGGGATAGTAGAGGATAGGAAAGGTAGCAGAATACAACAGTCACTAATATGGCATTATGTAAAAATGTGGATGTGTAACTGACGTGATTCTGCAATCTGCATTTGGGGTAAAAATTGGGAGTTCATAACCCACTTGAATCTAATGTATGAAATATGATACGTCAAGAGCTTTGTAATGTTGTGAACAACCAATAAAAAAATAAATAAATAAGAAAAACAAAACAAAACAAAATTAATTATAACCACAATTGCCCTACTCAGAGTGAAATGGCGTTTATCTGAAATTATCTTTGATGTGCTGATTCCTAACTAATATTAAAAAATAATTCAGATATTATTCATTACAGTAATTCATTTTAAATTTATTTCCTTACAAGAATGACTCATCATGAATCATCCATTATAAGGGCATTTTAGTTATTGTGCACAAATGAATAGTGATACAAAAGAAAATGAAATGTCACCTTGTTTGTTCCACAAATGTAAATTTAAAATCCGGGTTTGTTTGAAATTATAGCCTGGCTATTACAATTCTGTTTTTGAACATAAAATATGAAATATTTTTGTTTATTAAAAAAGGTTATTCAATAGCTTCAAATTTCATTTATACAATACTCTTTATAACATAGGAATTAATAATTGTGTTTTTTTCATAACATAATTTTTCATTTTCTTTCATAATTTTCAAAAGCAAACTTCTCATTTAGACCTGTTACATGGGATATTGTGAATATAATACTGCTATATATATTAAAAGTAACTGATGATGCTTATAAAAAAAATAAAGAGTAGTTAAATTTGAAAAAAAAAGTCAATAGTGCATATATTATCATATATCATTGTTACATATCACGTGTTAATGATGTCAGTAAAAAGTAATGAAGTTTGTTAATTAAAATGAAACATTACTTCTTTTGTATCAAGAAATATTTTTACTTTGATGTTATGTATCTAGTACTAATAAAGAACATAGCAAAGGGGCTGAGGCTATAGCTCAGTGGTAAAGTGCTTGCCTCGCATGTGTGAGGCACTGGGTCAATCCCCAGCACCACATAAAAATAAATAAAGATGCTGTGTGTTCATCTATAACTAAATAAATATTAAAAAAAAAGAACATAGCAAATAACTTCTGCTTAAAATCCTTAAAAAAGGGTTAAAATAAAATCTAAGAATACAAACATAGTAGGCAGACAGCTCTTCATCATTCTGGCCTTGTCTTCTTACCTGGCAGCATCTCTTTCTTTTGCTTTTCATTGATCCTTTCTGGCCATGGCTGTCAGACTGTCTGGATGTGAAGCAGGGGCTCTGTGTTAAGTCTGTTTTCCCTTCTCCTTATAATAGGTGCCAGTAAATATTAATGAGTGAACAGAGCTGTCATTTGTCTTATTACCTCTCATCTGATTAATACATTCATTCTGCTTTTTTGAGTTAAATAGATAGCAATAAGAAGAGCTCAGATTTTAGAACCAGATTGCCTGGGTTCAAATCTTGGTGTATACCCTTATTAACACTGTTATCTTAAATAAGTTATCTGACTTCTCTCTGCCTCATTTCCATGTCTGTGAAATAAGATAATACAACTACTTTATGGTGTTGTTTTGAAGCTTAAATAAATAAATATCTTAAAACATTTAAATATATATAACAAGTGTTATATAAACAGATTTATATCTGTTTATCATATATATAATAAGTGTTATATAAACAGATTTCAGTAAAATAAAAAAAATCTGTTCTCTCTCTATTTCACTGTCTGCCTTCCTTCCCATTCTCATTATCTTTTACATGGATTGTGGTAACCTTTTAGCTTGTCTTCTTGCCCCTAGTCTTGATTCCCTCCCAACCAACCACTATTCTTGTCAAAATGAGGGAGCTTTCTAATTCTAAATTTTAATTGCTTTATCCTGCTTAAAATATTTTCTGGCTCTCTAATCAGAGGAATTTTATGACTCCTGTCGTGTAAACACTTTGCCTGCTTCCTCAGCCTCATCCCCCATCTTTTCCCTCAATGATACCCACAGTACTAGACCCCATACAGATGTTTGGTTTCTTGAACACATTATTTATTTTATTGCTTTGCTTCTTGCTTATGTTATTCTTCTGTCTGGTATCTTAAAAATAGATGTTGTCTTATAATAGTTATTCTTTCATTTCTGTTTACCCTATACAAATTATTACCATCTTATAACTTATTCATGTACACACATTTAACTCTACTGATTTAACTCTTACTGACTGTAAGTTATTTCTGGGGAGAATTTTAGGTTGGATATGATAGTCAGCTGTTATATAAAAAGCCACCTGGAAACTCATATCCAAGCTAGAATATTTTATTGAGTCTTATCCAGAGAAATGATCAGATCATAGATTTTCTTTTTGAGTTCATATTGGAAGTTTAAAATCTTTACCTTCGCCTAAGAGACCATCAGAACAGTTCTTAAAAAGTGTGATGGAGGTTAGGAAGGGGGAGGTACATTTGTCATCTCTGGGAAAGGTGATCATAGTTAGAAAAAGTATGTTCTGAAATTAACATGCCTTGATACTTTTTATAAGACCATGTAATTCAATTCAAAACATAAAATTAGATTAAAGAATGGAGTGAGTTTTTGTTTTTTTAATCAAAAGAGGGCATAAAGATTGAAAAACACTGCTTTAGACACTGAGTAAAACTGTATCAGGTAATCTGCTTTTCTTATAACTAAGGGTGAACTTTTAAATGCAAATGTTTCCAGGTCTTTTTTTTTTTCAACCTATAATTTTTTTTTAAAAAAACTTTGTATTTAAAAAGAAATGTTTACAACCCTTTCTTTCAATTCTCTTTGCTTTTAAACTATTTTTTTGGATAGTACTTTAAATAGTAAAAACTGAAAACTGTTAATATCCTGAATTTTCATTACAGTGAGAGCACAGTATCTTTTGTGTGTAGTAGACTTTTGTCCTTGCTTGTAACAATGCTTAATGCAGAATTTTTCAAATGAAAAAAAGAATAGTTTTTCTTGTATAAAACTTATTTGAGGTAAATTTAAATATATTCTGTTAGAAAGAAAAATATATCTTTATAATTTTGTCTTGGCTTGAGATAGAACCTTGGTCTTTGTTCTAAATGAGCTATGATCTTTCATTACTATTCACAGGTGGAAAAGGGATAGCAGTGGAAATAAAATCACCCACCCTGTTTCTGGGAAACACATCTTACAGTTTGTTGCAATAAAAAGGAAAGACTGTGGAGAATGGGCAATTCCAGGGGTAAGCATTGCAATTAAATCAAATTAATGTTTTAAGTCCTTTTTAGTTACTTTATTTCCTACAGGGTTTTTGTGTGTGGATCTTTACTACTCCATTTCTCCTGAGTTTCTGCCTATTTCCATCATCTTTCATCACTGCAATGAAGTGGCATTTTTAATAACAAGTCTATATCTGAGTTTAATTTTAACATTTTTGTAAAAACACGTGGACTTTAGAGGTAGATCTCAGGTTGTGTTCTGGCCTTTTTACTTGCAACGGGATGACATGCAGTTTAGGCCTCATCTTTAAAATAAAAGTAATCATATCTACCTTACAAAATAGCATAGGCACTTACTAATGTGGGGTCCCATCTTAACCACTATTCCAAATCGAAGGTAATATTTTTAGCATTATTTATTAAATTCTGATACTTTATACATAGTAAAAAAGATAACATTTTTTACTTATTATTTCTTTTAGTTTTAAAATTTCCATAGTATTAGGAAAACTTTTGTCAACTAAGTATACCTTAGTTTGAATTTATGCCAGTATGATATTTGAAGTGACTTTTAATATATGTATCATATGTGTGTAGAAGTTTTTCTGTTTTGTTCTGTATTGTGAAATGGAGATGATTTAATATAATAAATATTCTATAAATGTACTGTTATCTGAAATAATTTTTTTGTAGGATAAGAGTAGAATTGAATTAAAGATCTAAGCTGATTCTGATAAAAGCTTAGACTAATTATTATGAACCAAATCACCAGACTTCACTTGTGCTCAGTGCAACAATGTCATAATGTTTTCATCATAGGAGCTTATATTTTAATTGTCATTTGACATTCTGATGAGGTAACTGTGGTTACTGATAAAATTTTGAGTTATTCATCTACTCAATATAATTTGAGTATTTTCTCTTTGTTGACTAGTATCTTAGACACTGAAGGTACAACACAGCAACATAAACAAACATCCTTGTTTTATAGTGCTCACATTCCAGAGAGGGAAATAATAGAAGTTAAATATATTTTACCTTAGGAAATGCTAAGTATTAAGAAAGAAATTAAAGCAAAGTAGGAGACTAAGAAGTGTATGAGAATTCACAGTTTTAGATAGTGATGTTTGTAATCTGAAGGAAGGGAATGAGTGAACCATGTAGGCATCCATGAAAAAAACATCTTGGACAAAGATTATAGCAGGTGTAAAGGCCTTCAGGTGGGAGTAGGTCTGGTGTGTCTTGTGAACACCAAGGAGATGAGATAAGGTACATTTATTGGCTACTTCTACTAGAAACAAATGGTTTAGAGAAGAGCATATTACAGAGGAATGAGGACCATTATTATAGGCTGATTGAATAATGGTCTGTTGTACTTCAGTAAATATTTCATGAATAAATCAAAGCTTATTACTCCTTCTTCTTCTTCTTCTTCTTCTTCTTTTTTTTAATAATATGATTCTTAGGGGATGGTAGATCCAGGAGAGAAGATTAGTGCTACACTGAAAAGAGAATTTGGTGAGGAAGCTCTTAATTCCTTACAGAAATCTAGTGCTGAAAAGAGAGAAATAGAGGAACAGTTGCATAAACTCTTCAGCCAGGAACATCTAGTGGTAAGAACTGATGGTTTCCAGAAGGGATTTAGTCCTGTGAATTAATAAAAAATGACTTAAAATATATCTGCAACCTAAAAGAACCTTCTCTAAGAAAATAAAACTTCTTGTATATTTGAAAAATATATTCATAAAAAATTTAGGCTGTAGATCTTCACTTTAAAATACATTTCTATTTAAACTTTTATAGCTTTAGGTAAATTTAATCATAATTTCTTTTAGTTTTTTTCTGTAGACCAAATGTGACAGATAACTCTTTTTTTATCTGCTGAGTATACATCCAACAGCCCTCTTTCCTCTTTTTTGTTTGTTTGCATGAATCCTCCTTTCTCTGAAAGGACATTCACATTTTAAATTTTATAAGAGTTTTTAAAAAAATTAAAAAATTAAAAAAAAACCTTATAAGGTATATGTGTACTAATAATAAGGAAAGGAATAAATTTTCTTTTCATTGACTTTCATTTAGATTAATTTGTTTTCTTTCCAGAATTAGAATTTCTTAATCTTTTGTCTATGTTATCCAGTTTTATGTATTTATTTTTTTGTATCACATTTGTGTTAGATGACTAGAACCAAATCTTTTCATGTATTAACAGCTTAAATATGTTAGTTTTATTTATAGATCTCCTTTTTTTAAGTAGAAAATCTACCTTTCTATTTATGAACTTATAATCACAGAAATTATTAAAATAGAAAAATGCCTAAATTGTGGAGCTTTTTAAAAAAATCTTATGGGTCAAAAGGACTATTTTCTTTCTTTCTTTTTTTTTTTTTTTTTGTGGTGCTGAGGATTGAACCCAGTGCCTTGTGCGTGTGAGGCAAGCACTCTAGCACTTGAGCTATGTCCCTAGCCCCCAAAAGGACTATTTTCAGTTTTTTCCCCCTGATGTTAGTGATTAAACCCAGGCTCTCCCACATGCTTTTTAAAAGCACTTGCACTACCATTTAGCTATGTCCCCAACCCCTTTCACATTTTGAAATTAGAAATCTAAGATATGGAGGGTTTTTTGAATCTTAAAGTTGCCTCTAAAGAAAATATTGTCTCCTGAGAAATTTAAAAGAAGTGTTTGAAAGCTACAGTAAAGAATCTATGATATTTACATTTCTTCTTTTTAAAAAATTTTGGTAAAATACATGCAACAAAATTTAACCATTGTTGTACAACAGGATATTTACATTTCTGAATCTAGTGAATCTTCTGAACATTTTTTTGTTCTACCCATTCCCGTTTCACCCTAGAATTTTTTTTTATCTGCCTCCTTTTAAAAATAGATATATAAGGGATATGTTGATGATCCTCGAAACACTGACAATGCATGGATGGAGACAGAAGCTGTGAACTACCATGATGAAACAGGTAATTTTATACTCATGTTTATTGGATTGATTGGAATTGAGGATCAATGTAAGTCAAGCAGCCTACTGGGGCAGTTGTAGCTGGACTATCTTAGCATTTTAGGTAATTAACTATTTTTAAAAAAAATTTTTTAGTTGTAGATGGACACAATACCTTTATTTTATTTGTTTATTTTTATGTGGTGCTGGGGATCGAACCCAATGCCTCATGCATGCTAGGCAAGTGCTCTACAACTGAGTCACAACCCTGGCCCCAGGACAATGAACTATTGATTTTAGGACTATATTTATATGAAAGCAAAGTTGTTGGCATTAAAAGACTACATAGAACAAAACTTCAAAAGTGTTATTCACCAGTAACTATTGGTAGCCAATGAAATTAAGGTTGAATTTATGGGCTAAAACGATGTATTTTTAAAGGTTGTCCTATTATTTGTATAATATATTTCCATTTGTGTATAAGATAAAAATAAAGCAACTAGGAATTTGGGTGGGAGAGTAGGATAATAAAGGAGTTGGGATTTATATTTGTCTTAGTGTTTGAAATATTTTAATAATAAGCATGCATTTTTAAAGCACAAAACAATATCAGAAAGGTTACAAATACTGAAAAAATTTAAAATGAATGCTTTTTTCTAGTCTGTGGATTTTAGAATTTATTTGGGAGAATCAAATGTGTTATAAAAAGAGATGAAATTTGTTATCTTAAAAATTAATTATTATTTATAATTTACACATTGAATATCTTCTCTTGAAACACATTTGATTGCCAAACTGGATGATTTCCTAAGTATTTGATATTTATTTGTAGCATAATGGAGTGAGGACACTGTATCAGAGAACTGAATGTTCTACTCATGGCTCTTCTCTGAGCTGTGTAGTCATGTGCAAATCAATTTTCCCCTTGGACTCAGTTTATTCATTTATAAAACAGACTAGAATTAGAAGATCTGTGACTTCTCTGTGCTTTTGCTTGTTGAACTTGGGGAAACTCCTGGCACTATTTCTATTCTTCTACTTTAAGATAGTAAAAAGAATTCATCCTTCTGGTATTAAGAACTTAGAAGAAATATACAAATAGAACTTAGAGGCAGGTTTATACAGTGGAAATATGGACAAATTTGTTATTTTGTTTTGGTGGGGATTGTTAAAAATAGTAACTAATCCTCCAAAAAGGTTGATTACATAAAGAATTTTTCCAAAATAGAAATCTGAATGTCCTATTGCTTACTTTGTCTCTTCAGACTGTGTTTTTGACTTTTTAGCATACCTACAGTGTATTTTAAAAGCTGGACACAATTTATCTGGTAAAACAAATTAAGACAAATAGGACTTTAGTGTGAAGTTTTGTTTTTATCTGGCCAGGATAGCTGTATTTATTGCTAAAACTATAATAAGAGTCAGAGACTAAAATTTCCTCTAGTGTCCTTGTTTTTTGTTTTAAATTTTTTTTTAACCTACTCTGTTGTTTTAGGGTTGCCTTAGAGACTTCTTAATAAGGTCTGAGATATGCTCTTCAGTTGTATTCTCCTGTTATAGTAAGTTTGGGGGTAGAATCCAGTGATTGGGTCTCAGCCTTTTAGTGAGCCTGTGCCCCTAACCTATGACCTTTACAAGTGCTTCTAGGCTTCTCTTCTTCCTTCTCCCATCCTTAGGTCAGACAAGGAGACAGAGAGCTCTGGAATTGGGTATTTCCCTTCTCCAAGGTTGGTTAAGCCTTGGTAAAATAATTTTCTATAAGGGCCATATACTGTGGGAGTATTTCAAAATGGTTACTTTCATTTCCCCTTTCTGGAAATTAGAGGGGATTTTCCTCTAAAGAGGGGGAAGGACTCTGTTGGATATAAGAAGAATTGTTAATTTTCAGTTCAGCTTTTTTTCTTGTTAAGGTAGGAATTATGACTCCTGAAGTCTAAATGTCATATCATCTCCCTTTAAATTTTTAAAAATTTGTTTTGTATAATTTATTAAGTGACCATAGGAGTGAGTAAAAGAACCTTTCAGACATTATTAATTCTAATAAGAAACTTGATGTAGAGAGTTGTTGTTTAGATAATTTGATACTTTAACTTTTGGATTCAGGTTTACTTTTTAGTTCTCTTTCTCTATGGATGGTTGGATGTTGCAGTTATAATGAAGATGCACATAGAGCTATCATTTCAGCATTGGTATTTAGGAATCTGTGCTAAAATATAATAATAGTTCTTTCTTTTAAACATTAGCTTTATTATTTTATTACAAGTACTTATTATATAGGTAAAGTTAATTGAAAGTTATTTAAAAATAAATGACGTAAAGAGGAAATGCTTTAACAGGCTGTTTTTTTTCTTTTAGATAAATTCTTCATAGAGGAATTGCTGGATTGTTACAGTACATTCAGTGCCTAGTTTAGTGTTTGGTACACAGACACTCTGATATTTATTGGTTGAATGCTTATACAGAAGCATTTGCTTTCTAAAAATACCTGATAAACATTGCCAAATTGTTCTATAGAAATATGCCATTTATATTCCTAAAAATGACCGAGAATGTTTATTTTAATTTTTTAATAATTATAGTTAGAGATATTTTAATAAATATATTTATGCTTGTATAAATATAAATATTTTCTGTTGTAGTTTTTTGTCATGCTTAGAAAAGTCTACTTAAGCCTTATTTATTTATTTATTTATTTATTTATTTTTGTGTGTGTGTCTAATCCCTCAGGAATTTTTTTTTTTGATGTAAGGTTTTGTACTCATTTGATATGTTTTCTTTGATAATTATACTATTCTTACTTTTTTAAAGAGAAGATCTTTCTTTTTGGTGCTCAACCTGAAATTTAGTAACTTAATTAAAATATAGGCAACTTGGAATATTTTAATTTTTAAATTTCTTGGCCACTGATACAGTAATGATTTTATGATTATTTTTACTAAGAATACTTGGAGATGTAGTTATGCTGGGAAAAATAAATAAATAAATGAATTCCTTTTTTTTGGTGATGGTTTTTCTTTGGTAACCAGGTGAGATAATGGACAATCTTGCCCTAGAAGCTGGAGATGATGCTGGAAAAGTGAAATGGGTGGACATCAGTGATAAACTCAAGCTTTATGCCAGCCACTCCCAATTCATCAAACTTGTGACAGAGAAACGAGACGCACACTGGAGTGAGGACTCTGAAGCTGACTGCAATGGGTCATAGCTTGTGGTCTCCGTGTAAGCCAGAGGCCAGCAAAGGAACGTGCACTGAAAAGAAGGCAGTGACAGAACTCATGCTGTAAAAAGGCAGCGTAGCTCACTAGGAAGTAATTTTATTCACTTTCAAAATGTTTGTATTTAGAAGGTTTTTGCATCAGAATAATATGAGTAAATATCATAAAATAGAATTTCCACCTTTCTGATCAAAAAGATTAGAAATAGTTTTATTTTGTATGCATTCCATAAGCATGGCTTAAACCAAGTTTAATACCTGATGCTCTTGAAGAGTTGTAGTTAGAACAAAGATAAATTCCCCATCAGCTGTAACTTCTGCTTTTTCCATTTAGTTCTTGTTCGTTAGTTCTTTTCCTCCCTCTAAACTGAGGTTTGAAGGATGTTTGTGCCACATCCAACTTCTTTTGGAGGAGTACTGCCATTGGTTGTATAGTTTAATGTCTAATCTGATTTTTATTTAAATTATTTTGTTTCACATGATTTTGTTGAAGCTGACTTCAAAAGTGGAAACTGTATTTTTGTCTTTGAAGTTTGTGGAAAGAGACATGCTATTTTTCTACAGATATTTGAAAAGGGTAACCAGGCTTACTCTCATAGCTAGAGAGCAAGATTAGGCCTAAGATAAAACAAAGTGGTGGGGTTTTTTTTTTTTCTTTTTTTGGTCTTGATTGTTGTTGATTTGATGTCATGACTTTTTTGGTGATAAACCCGAACTGATTTTCATCCATTTTATAAGGAAATTTCAGTTATTTTGTCAATAAAGATCAAGATTAATGAATAAGAGCTCATATTCTTATTTTTCAGAAATTCTGAATTTTAAAAATACACCTAGGGTATTAGAAATTTATGGAGATTTCACTCTACTCTCTACTATAACTATTGTATGTCACAAATGAATCAGAGATGGATGTAAAAAGGCAGGGACAGAGAGGGGTTGTTGTAAGTTAGAGTACTTTTTATGAAGAAGGGAATGTTAAGGATGGAACTTAATTTTTGAGAGACATGTGGTCAGTGTAAATCATAGAGGAAGGATAGGGTTGGTGTATTAGGGTCTTTTGGAAGCAGGGAAGAGGAAAGAAAAAGAACACTGCTTGTCCCAGTAGACATATCTGTCATACTCAGGCTAAGGATTTCTATTGGAAAGTCCTGTGATATTGACTCCTGACAACCTGCAGTACAGACTGTCAGAATTCCTTCTTCCTTCCAGTTAGATTATAGATGGGACACCTAAAGAAAAGGAAGTTTGTGGAAAGAGACATGCTATTTTTCTACAGATATTTGAAAAGGGTAACCAGGCTTACTCTCATAGCTAGAGAGCAAGATTAGGGCTAAGATAAAACAAAGTGGTGGGTTTTTTTTTTCTTTTTGTGGTCTTGATTGTTGTTGATTTGATGTCATGACTTTTTTGGTGATAAACCCGAACTGATGTGGAAAGAGACATTTCTCTTCTTAGTGTAACTGTAAGTTTTGCAAAGAAATGTTGCAGTGTTTGATTTCAGGATACCTTGGTCTCCTCTGGAAGAGTTATATTATGAGGCTTATTATGATATTATTCTTTTAAAATCCATGAAGTCCTGGTCCATAGGATCCTGTGCATTGATCACTCTCATTTGAATGACTTTCTCTCAGCATGAAAGAGCTGGCTTCTACTTTTACTGTTTGACAGGAAGAAATTGCTTCTTCCTGGCAATAAATAGAATTCTTTGAAATTGAAATGACTAATGAAAGCTCTCAAGAAAGTTTGAGAAATTTTGTGAAAATAACATTTACTTATTTTTTAATAATTTTGGTATATTTGAACTGAAATAATAAAGATATTAGTTTGTGTTGAAGTTTTATTTGAAGTATGACTGAAGCAGATAGGTCTATAGATAACATTTGTTGTGGTATCTTAGAGTTTTCATTAGAACATTGACAGAATATGAAAAATGATTAAACCACTACCAACTATAGATAAGATAAATGCAGATCGTCTTCTGATAATTGTAAATATCCAGCACCATCTATAATTAAGAAAAACCAGATTAAAATGTTAATTTAAGACCTTCCTGGAGGAACATCTGCATCTCTATTGATAGATAATGTCCCCTTCATATTTACTTTCCTAATGTCTTAGAGATAATTAATATTTTTTTCTTTTATAGACTGAATAAAGTAAGTAGCAATAATAGATCCCATTTACCGACTGTCTGTGTCATTATCACTTAATCCTCACAACAGTCCTGTGAAATCCCAGGACTGTTCCATTCCATTTTATGGATGAAGAAATTGAGATTTTGAAAGATTGCCTAAGGTTTTATTCAGTGAGGGATAGAGCTTGAATTCTGGTCTACCTAGTTCCAGTATCTGTTCTCGTTTCTATTACATATTAACCCTACTCAGGTTACGAGTCTTGTGATTTGTTACTTTAAGGATGCAGATAGGAAAAGTATGTTACATAAATGATACTCATGTTAGCCAAAATAATGCATAGTTTATGACTTGAAATTTAAGGGCCACACCTGATTAAACCAGCATTGTTGAAATTGTTTGTATAATTTTGGACCAAAGACAGTTTATTTGGTGATATCTTAATCTAAGATATCAGTATTTGTCTTGCCAGCAGACATTCTTGAGCTTTTGAAAGAATTTCCAACTCAAATAGAAGTGTATGCTAAGTTTACTTAAGGTTGTAATTATCTTAAGAGCTAGACACTGGGTAGCTGTGGAGAGAATTTGAAAATTCTAGCAGTTTTAGAGGCTACTTTTGTTTAGAAGTATAAATTATTTTATGCTTAGGACTTCTGGTGGCTATTGTTTTCTCAAATATTTCAGGAGTTTTAATAAATAAACTAATTTAAAATAAATATCCTTTGAAGAAATCCTTTGTCATTAGGTTGGTCTTGTTTATGGTTGATTTCATCATACTATGAATTTACCAACATGGACACAATCTCAAGGTGATAAAACACTTACAAAAATATTTAGAAATATGTAACGGTGGTCTGCAAATAGAAAAATATTTGGAGATTTTACTAACCATGTATAACTTCTGGCATAATGGTGACAGGATTATTTCTGTTGAAATAGAAAATACAGATTATAGTTATATGAAAATATTGTCACCACCTGTCTCCCATTTTATGGTTATTTTATTGCTCATGTGTTAATATTGAAGTGACTCTGTGGGTTGGGAGTGGAAAATAATGTGATTCTGCTCTACTTTAATGCTGATAAATTGAACTCTGAACTGTCTTGTCTACAACATTGAACTTTATTTTTCCCATTTGGCCTCTGATGACCTTAGAGAAGTACTTGAAGTGGTAAAAACATACTAAATTAATACTTAAGGGCATTGAAACTGATTTAGGAAGGGAAACTGTTGGGTGAAAATCTAATTTCTTTCTCAATATTGAAGTTGAAAACATTTTGATTCTTCAGCTTCTTCAAGGTAGATTAAAAAATACATATGTATATAATTTTAATTATATTCAATTATTTTGAAAAGGAATATATTTTTTTTGTTCCTACTTTTTTTTTTTTTTTTGTACTGTATGTTTTAAATGAAAGCAAACTTGCTTGAGGGAGAGTCAAAGCAGATGTCCTAAAGTTTGTAGCCTTTTCATCCAGCAAGCTGATGGCTCTTGCATTAAAGAGATGTGACATGCAGAAATTTTGATCTAAAAGTCTTGGAGGACGCTGAGTTTATAACTAATGAATTCTAATTGGGTAGATGAAGTGGGTTGATTCTGCCATGTGTTTTTATAGTTCAGAGGCATTATTCTTACCTTTCTTGACATTGCCACTTATTTTATAAGTAGAAATAAAATCTTACCCCAAGGAAGCCCTAAAAATAAGAAAAAAAATTAAGCTATTATCTTTAGTCCATTCAGTAAATTTGTATTTTATAGTAGCCTAAAAATACTTACCCCCAGTTGGTTCAAAACGGAGGTGATCAACTGAGAAAGAAGAAAAATCAATGTCAGGACTATCAGTAGGTTTATTTTTAACTTTAATTTAGTACATGTATAAATTAGACTATTTTGTATATGTAATGGTTTTATTGAAAATTCCACTTTGTTACTTATGATTTTATTTACATAATGTAAGATTTTAAAATGAAGAATCAATACCAAGATTTACATTTCTTTAATTTACAGAAATATTTTCTTCTGTCTTGTAACTCTATTCATTATATTTGACTCTCACTCTTGGCAATCACAGAAGAAATTGTTTCATTGATGTATAAGTTGAGTTGAATTGAATAAGTGAATATATAATTGTTCTCAGGCATTAAGATTGTTTTTTGGGTTTGAATGTAACAGCTGCTCTTTATTTTGTATCTACATGAATTGGACTAATAAGAGTAATTTTCAGGATGAATTGGCTCATTTTATGCAGGATATTGAATATAATACATTTATAGACTTACAGGTTAACAAAGCAAAATATATTTACCATTATGAATTCATTAGGTGTCAGGACCTAGAATAAAGGAAATACGAAATAATCTAGGAGTTATAATTCAGCATTTTTACTTTTTTCTGTTATAATTTTATATTAGCTTGGTAAATGAAAACATGCTTTTTAGAATGCATTTAAGAATTATATCATTAAGATTCACATTTACTAATATTTTTAAAGTATCTCCCCCTTGGTACCTCTTTCTCAAACCTATTTCTGGATATATGTAGTCCATATTTTCTTTTGTGGATTCCAAACATATAATATTTATTTTTTAGTTATAGGTATACAAAATATTTTTATTTTTATTTTTATGTGGTGCTGAGGATCAAATCCAGTGCCCCATGCATGCTAAGCAAGGACTCTTCCTCTGAGCCACAGTTTCCCAGTTTCCTTTTTTATAAGTTTTTTTAAAAATGCTTTTTAGTTGTCAATGAATCTTTTTAAATATTTTTTTTGTAGTTGTAGATGGACAGAATGCCTTTATTTTATTTATTTTTATGTGGTGCTGAGGATCCAACCCAGTGCTTCATGCATGCTAGGCAAGCACTCTGCCACTAAGCTACAGCTTCAGTCCAGTGGGTCTTTTATTTATTTATATGCCATGCTGAGGATGGATCCCAGGGCCTCACATATGCTGGGCAAGCATTCTACCACAGAGCCACGACTCCAGCCTGGAACTTCTTTTTTGAAAATCATTAAACCTATGCTTACTAGGTTGAGAAAAAATACTACACTTTTGCATTAATATTATGAAAGAAACTATAATGATGTTATTTTCTGTAATTTTAAGAAGAGTATAATTTTAAAAATTGGAATTAATATACTATAAAATATATAACTTTTTTTTCTAAATCAGTCATATAATTATCAGTACTTCAGTGAAGTCCCATTAAAGTAAAATTTAAATACACCTTATATACCATGAACATAACCCTAAATATAGTTCAAAGGCTTCAAGGACAGATACATTTCAATAAGTATCCTCCCTCCCCGTTAATGTCAAATGTAAGCATAACTTTAGAGGCACAATGTATTTCATAAAAGAACTATTTTTACTCTCTTGTCTTTGAGAATAAGGTAAGGCTGAGAAGAGCCTGAATATTCCAAAGTGTTAAAGAGCAGACCTAGAGTTGGCATCTCTAGAACAATTTGCCTTCAAGTTTTTCTACTGTTCCCCAGGTTTATTCCATACAATCACTGAATGTATCAGGTTTTAGGTTTGAGATTTATATATTAAGTTGTTCAAAATTTAACAATTGGTATTTTGTTAAGACAAAATATCAATAACTAGTAGTCCCCAAAGAGAATGCTAATCATTAAATCTTGGTATAAAATTTCTCTGTAATTAAAATTCTAGAGAATTTTCAAGTTTGTATTTTGTATTCATTTAAATATTTTCTTAAAGGTTTAAGTATAATTACCTGGTTTGGATTATAAGGAAAAAGAATTGGAATCTGAAGAAGGGGAAGAAATGAATTATGAACAAAACAAACCACAAACATTTCCTTTGGGCTTTTTTTCTCACAACTCATTCATTTAACCTTCCAACCATCTGTCCATCTGTCCATGCTTGACTTGTGTACTGAGCAGTTAACTTTGTGTCTAGGACTGGGCATATCAGTATACACGACACTTTCCTTAGGAAGCACAGGATTCTCTATGATTTATTTTTCTTTCAAGAGGTATGGTCATTTTGCTTTATCAATCAAAACTAAAGCCTGGCAATCTGTCTTTTGAATCAGTGTTGATAGTTCTTGCGAATTACAGTGGGGTTTCTTTACTTGCTTACTTTTAAATACTGTTCTGCCCTCTGGTGGTAGGAAGAGTTTCTATTTCAGATACTATTGATTCCTTTTTGTTGCCACACATAATTACATAATTTAAAATATAAGATGTTAATGGGCCAGGAAAGGAAACCATAGTGAATTTATCATTGCATTTTAAGTAATATTGATAGTAATTTTAATTTTTTGATATCCTGAATAATACTATTGTTTAACAGTGAGTCATATAGAAATAAATCCAATTTGACTAAACACAGACACACCAAAAAAGGTTTTAAGCCATGTGTGGTAGCATGCCTGTAAACCCAGAAGCTTGAGAGGCTTGAGATTGAGAGTTCAAAGCCAGCCACAGCAACAGGGAGGTACTAGGCAACTCAGTGAGACCCTGTCTTTAAATAAAATACAAAATAGGTCTGGGGATGTGGCTCAGTGGTTGAATGCCCCTGAGTTCAATCCCCAGTACCAAAAAAAAAAAAAAAAGATGTTAATGGTGGCTACTAAGTTATAATAAAAAACTAATACTAGGCTTTTACACCAACTTAAAAACAAATTTACTGAATTTCAGCCAGAAAAAGGAAACAATGTATTTAGCTCCTATTAGAGACAAAATAATTAGAATAATTAGCAATTAATAATAAATACAAGTACCCAGAAATTAAGCAGGTAGAATTCAATATGTGAAAACGTTAAAGGGAAAGAAATGTTCCATTGAGGACAGTTGTAGCCACAAATTTCCAAAGCCTATTTATAGTTGAAACCATTTGAAATTAAATATAAGGGGAAGTGTTTTTTTACACTTAAATATAAAACTAAATTAAGAAAGTTATATATTTTAAAAATATTTAGAGGATCAGACAATAAATTAGACAAGATGCTATTTTAAAATGTATTTGAATTTTCTGAACATCATTTTTTAAATACTGTCCAGCTTTAACATGGTCACAACTTGTATTGCAGCCTCATTGTATTAATCATTCCTCCCCCAAATTGCCTTGTGCTTTTCAGGTCCGTGGCCCTGCACTTACTGTTCTTCTACTCAGAATGCAGCACCCACTCCTTATCCTTTGAGCCCTGGCCCAGCTGCTAACTCCTTTGTAAAGTCTGACTTGTGGCCTGATTTAGCTTTTTATTTGTGTAGGAGCACTTATCAAATGGTGTTGTATTTTTCATTTCATTTCATTTTTCGTATCTCTTCCTCATCAGATTATGAACTTATCTAATGCTTTTTGTGTTTCTAGCATTCACTTGACCCTATTATGTAGTAGACACTTAGTGTTAGTTGATGAATGTTGTCTGTCTGTAAAAGTTATATGTAGACTAAAGGAAACTATGTTTAGTGTTCTTCCAGCCTTTATCGAAAAGATGTTATAAAATATATTAGGAGAGATTGGAGAAACCCCAACAAAAATAGAATTAGTTTTATTGTTTGATAAAGAGTTGTAGAAAGCTGGGGTAAACTTTAGAGAAAAGAAAGCAGCAAAGGTGATTTAGTAAAAACAAAAGAATGGATGTCATAGACGTTAGTGTTCTCTTCCTCAAGACTAACTACACGTGTCAATAAAGTAATCAGTTCAGATAATATCTTTTTGAAGGTAGGCGTAGAAGGACTCTGGAGG